TGAAACCGTTACTTCTTCCTTCAAAAGACCTGTAGTTCAGCCAGGTTAGGCTTAGGGAACAAAACCTGCAGCCCCTATGCGTAGCCCAAGCCCAGTTGGCGCCCTGTCAGAACCCAGCGGGCGCCCTGTCAGAGCCCGGCTGCGCCCTGTCAGAGCCCAGCTGGCGCCCTGTCAGGACCCAGCTGGCGCCCTGTCAAAACCCAGCTTGCGTCCTGTCAGAACCCAGCTGGCAACGTGTCAGAACCCAGCTGGCTTCCTGTCAGGACCCAGCTGGCGCCCTGTCAGAACCCATGGTGACGTGTCAAAACCCAGCTGGCGCCCCGTCAGAACCCAGCTGGGCATCCTGTAACGGCCCACTCAATCTGCCCGCCTGGGGCCCGACAGGGGCCGCGATAAAATCCTGGCTGGAATGGATGTTTCCAACCTGCTTAAAGCAAGTACGGGGTGAACAAAACAAACATTTCAAATGACCTTCAGTTCTCGATGCCAACGGCTGGATCCCGAACGACCGTGCCCTTTTGTAACGTCGGCCGTGTCCTTTTGTAATGCGTCTGTGCCCTTTTGTAACGCCAACCGTGCTCTTCTGTAACGTCAGGCGTGCCCTTTTCTAACGCCGACCGTGCCTTCTGTAACATCGGCCGTGCCCTTTGTAACGTCGGCCGTGCCCTTTTGTAACGCCAGCCGTGCTCTTCTGTAACATCGGCCGTGCCCTTTGTAACGTCGGCCGTGCCCTTTTGTAACGCCGGCCGTGCTCTTCTGTAACATCGGCCGTGCCCTTTTCTAACGCCGACCGTGCCCTTTTGTAACATCGGCCGTGCCCTTTTGTAACGTCGGCCGTGCCCTTCTGTAACATCGGCCGTGCCCTTTTGTGACGTCGGTCGTTGCCTTTCTTTAGCGTCGACCGTGCCCTTTTGTAACGTCGACCGTGCCCTTTTGTAGAGTGGCTGTGATACTGCGAAGTCGCCCCGGGCCCAGAGAACATTAAACTCGCGTTCACATCATGGTTGCGACTCCCATCATCACGTGCTGATGATGGGGCCCGGATCACAGTAACTTCGCGGTGGAGGGCGCAACATCCCGCTGTAGGACAGCGCCAGACTGCGGAGGGCAGAGCCAGACCGCGGAGGGCAGCGCCGGACTGCGGAGGGCAGCACCAGACTGCGGAGGACAGCACCAGACTGCGAGGGCAGCACCAGACCGCGGAGGGCAGTTGGCATCATCCCGGTTACACCCAAGCGCCACCCTCGGCGCCGTCGACGGCTCGGGCGGCGGCAGCGAACCGGTCCACGCACGCAGCAGGGCTGGGCGGGTCACGGCAGGCGCACCGGGCGGCCCAGCACGCGATCGGACCGGCCCGGCCGGCCAGAGCCGCCACCACCCCCCACCCGCCTCTCATCAGCCGGTCGGCCCGTCGGCCGCGAGCGCGCCTGCGCCGGCCCGGGTGGGGCGCGCCCGCGCGCCGGGTTGGGGCGCGTCTCGAGCAGCTGGCCGGTTGTCGGGCGGCCTGGGTTCAGTCGACAGCCGCCCTCTCAGCCCGGCTGGGCGGACTCGTCAAGCGGCGCCTTCGCGCCGGCAGCGGCCGACCCGCGTCAGGCTCGCCCCTGACGCCGGCCTCGCCCCGCCTTGCTCGGCTCCTATTCTCAGCGGACCAAGACAACCGTCCGGCTTTAATGCCCCAGTGCTGCAAGACGCAGAGGTGATGGACGCTCAGCCAGTCGCTTGCCAGTCGCTGTGCTGTGCTGTGCTCAGCCAGTCAGTGAAAACTCGTCGCGTGGGCTAAAACACGCACTCGCTCCCCAGCGTAACAGGCACGTCCCCAGCGTAAACACGCTCCCCAGCGTAACAGGCACGTCCTCTGCTCCGGCTCACATTTGCACAGTGCCGACCACGGCCACACGAACATGCCCAAACCACGCAAGCCTCTACCATCCAGGTACTATCCGTGCGGAGCGGGTGAAGGAGCAGCACCTAACGGTTCTAAAAGCTGGTTTGACCCGGGGAGCTCATTCCACTGCATCGCCACGCTGTGAAGTGTGGCGATGCCTTCGACTGATAGCAGATGAACTGCGATCACCTTCACATAAATATGGCGAAGCAATCACCAACCGCAAGTGTTGACGATGCCGCACGTTTCAGCCTGCTGCATAAACATTGTAACGACATCTTAGGCCCGAAAGTGCTGAGTTTATAGACGAAAATCTGGCATCACCGACGCAAATTAACATCGCACATACGGGCAACAGCGACTTACCTCTGTGAAGTCTCTGAGAGACATGTCGGGGGCCGCGAAGCTCACATGATTCGAATGCGCTCACGCGATTCTGCCCCACCAACCGCCCGTCGAACATCACCGCGTGCATCTTTGGCACCCACGGCCTCGCTGCCCAAAACTCGTCCGCAGCGCCTGTGCCGACATGCCCGAGGCGGCCAGCCGGTGCTGCCCTCTACAACAACGGCTGTTAGGCGGCGCAGCATCGCCGAGCCTTTGGAATTCGGCGGGCCGACCACCGGGTCAGCCATCACACACTGTTGCAGCATTAGCAGCACGGCGACGCCGCGCATTACCGCCGCATCTGATGCTGCAATAACGAACACCCCGGCCCGGGCAGGAAGGCTGGTTATTTACGGGCGACCATCGCGCAGCCGCGGGCCGGCCGCGCCCACATCAATCAGGCTTAAATGAACTAATTCCTGCGCATGCGCATTCTGCAGCATCGGCAGCACGACTCGGTGATTTGGCGATCCGCGTTTCCGGGTGTTTCTCAAGCCGTGGCCGCTCCTCGCAGCGGACCTCTTGGTTTTCCCGCGAACGTTCGCTCTGGTACGATGTTTGGCTGAAGCCAGCCGAGTCATGTAAGCGACGTCGATTCTGTGAAGAACCACCGGCGAGTAGTTTGGTTTTGGGGAAGATTAACAGCTTATCTTTCTCGTGACCAAAGGAAAGAAGGATGATCCCCTTATTATGGCTGAGAATGATTGGGCCCGGTGTTTGCCAGCAGTCTTAACTCGGGCGTCGGCTGACCAAATTTGGTAAGAGCTGACCGATCTCCGCCAAATCCTGGCATGAATTTGAAACTCCTCTTCACGTGGATCGCTAAAGTATGGCAACAAACTAGCTTGTGTAGGCTTCCTCGTTTTAAAGACGACGAAGTTTGTGCGCTTTGCTCTTTCCGAAGAAAATCGTCGATAACTGGAACACCCAACCAGCTTCGTCACGGCAGTTGGTTATGCTGCCGTCGATCCACAGGGCAGGATCGGCCGCCAGCCCGCCAGCGTGGCGGAGCGCCAGCCGACGGCCGGCTCATGCTCCGGCTGGGGCACCGCGGGCTGAACCGTCCGGGCACCAGTCGGCGGCTGGGGCACCTCCCGGCACCGGTCGGCGGCTGGAGCACCTCCCGGCCCAGTCGGCGGCTGGAGCACCTCCCGGCACCGGTCGGCGGCTGGAGCACCTCCCAGCACCAGTCGCGGCTGGAGCACCTCCCGGCACCAGTCGGCTGCGGAGCACCTCCCAGCACCAGTCGGCGGCTGGAGCGCCCCCGGCACCAGTCGGCGGCTGGGGCACCTCCCAGCACCGGTCGGCGGCTGGAGCACCCCCCCCACACCGGTCGGCGGCTGGAGCACCTCCCGGCACCAGTCGGCGGCTGGAGCACCTCCCGGCACCGGTCGGCGGCTGGAGCACCTCCCGGCACCAGTCGGCGGCTGGGGCACCTCCGGCACCGGTCGGCTGCGGAGCACCCCCCGGCACCAGTCGGCGGCTGGGGCACCTCCCGGCACCGTCGGCAGCTGGAGCACCTCCCGGCACCAGTCGGCGGCTGGGGCACCTCCCGCACCAGTCGGCGGCTGGGGCACCTCCCGGCACCGTCGGCAGCTGGGGCACCTCCCGGCACCAGTCGGCGGCTGGGGCGTGCCCGGACCTCGCTAACTCCAGAGCTTCGCATTGGTGTACGAACGCCGCGGCTGCGGAGTAGACGGTGCTGCGGCTGGGGAGTGGACGGCGCGGCGCGGCCACCGCTCGTGTGACGCTTCGTCCGTCCGCAAGGGGAAAACCAAGCTCGAGTATGGTTACTGCTCCCGGGTTACAGCTGAAGGGAAGGAGGGGGGGGGGGGGGGGGGCCATAGCAAGTCGAGGTCTTCTCACACTATTTCGTCACGTCACGACGCCAGCTTTCCCGCGCCAGCTCCGCCAAACACATGCGCTAGGGTAAAGTATATTTCCTCTTAGTTTGTACAACACCGAAATTACGTCGTAACTTCCGGAAATAGTCAATTGTTTATGAAACGCTTATCTACTAACGTATCCTAGGTGTAAGGCGTTATCCGGCGGTCTGTCCGGACCAAGGTAAGCGAATATACAGGCGCGCGCGCGTCAGCATTAATACTGCCCCGATCGACCCGGAGTGCGCCTGTCCGGCCGCCTTCGCATGGCCTTCCCTGGGCAGCTTCACTCGGGTCATCTTCAGCTAACACTCAGCAGACCAGGCCGCCCCTGTCATAAACTATCAGACGGTATTCGGCCAGCGCCGAGCAGGCCTCACCGGCCGCCCTCCGCTGGCGAGGAGATCACCGGCCACGTGACTCCCAGACGACCTGCTACTGACCGCGCGCGCCGCCGGCGGGCCACCCTCCACCGGCCCACACACAATCCCGTCGCTTGCCGGCCGGTCCGGCCGGGGCGCGCCAGTTCCGATGACCTCGCACCGACGTGCCGCGGTCGTCCTCGGGTCGGCAGGGCCGCGTCGCCGCGCACACTGCCACTCTAGTCGTGATATGTTGGGCGCTGACTCTCACACGAAGCGGGCGGCCGCCGCCGCAGCACCAGGTTATAGTGGTCATATAGGCACGCACAAATCACACGTCACTACCAGACGGACGCTGCACCATACATCTCCTCCGGGCCGCGCGGCGCGAGCGCGCGCGCCCGCCGGTCGACACCCGCGGCGCCTCCGGTCCGGGGACGCTCGGGCCGCCTCCGCCCACCCGCAGACCGCGACAAGCCGCGCAGTTAAATGGCATACGGACGAGAAGCAGCGCGGCCGAAGCGCGCCGGCGCCGGTCGGCGTCGGCGTCTTCGGCGGCCGCGGCGACTCTAGGTGTGGCCGGTCCGGTAGGAGCGGCTCGTGTTGCTCATGGTGATAGTCTTCTCGACGCGCTGAGAGCTCTGCGACAGCATTTGCTCGGCCGAGGCCAGCGAGCCGAGCGGGTCGCCGCCGCGCGTCACAGGACGGCGCTGTGGTGCTGCTTGCTCGACTGTGGGCGGCCGGGGGCTTGGTCAGACCGGCGAGGCTAGGGTTCAGACGGCTTGGCGAGCGAGGGCCGGGGATTAGACGGCTGGGGCACGGGCCGGTTGGCTTAGGACGGTTGTGGGACTGGGTACGCCGGGTCACACAGTGGGGAGGGAGGCCGGGTTAGACCGGTTGGGGAGGAGGCCAGATCAGATGGCTGGCGACGGGGGCAGGGGTCAGACGGCTGGAGGGACGGGGCAGGTGGTCAGGACGGCCGGGGGACGGGGGCCCGGTGGTCACACGGCTGGCGAGGGGGCCGGGTCAGACGGCGGCAGCAGCGCGCGCAGAGAGACGGTTCGGCCGCCCAGGGACCTGGCCGCTGACACTTTCGCGGCCCGCTGCTAACATCGACCGGACGCCAATTAATGACAATGTGATCAGCGAGAGCCCGCTGCCGTCTGCAAGCCGAACTTTTTTACAAACCCCTGGCAATACGGGCCGAAACTATTCAAGTCGCTCAGCAAGGGAGCAGTCATCTAAGCCTGACGTCACCTTGACGTCACGCGTCGCGCAGCGGCTGCACTGTGGCCAGTCACTGACCTTGTTGAAAACTTGCTATTCTGACTGCTGGGTCCCAGCGAAGCTCTTGAAGTGCTTGAGGGACTCCGAGAAGCTGGGTCCCTCGGTGATGGAGCTGTCCATGTCGGCGCCACGGTCCGCCGCCGGGCTGCCAAACACGAGCGGGTCAGCTCAGGTCAGGTCAGGTCAGGTCAGGTCAGGTCAGCTCATTCCAGCTCTGCTCACCTCAGGTAAGGTCAGTTCATGTCAGATCAGCTCAGCTCAGCTCAGGTCAGGTCAGATCAGGTCAGGTCAGGTCAGGTCAGGTCAGCTCACCTCAGCGAACGCCACGAAAGCTGGCAGGAACGGACAAGAAGTGAAGTAATAGGCGGGGTCCGGGATGAGGTGGGGTGAGGCGGGTGGGGTGCGGGTGGTGAAGGTTGAGAGGGCGTCACATAACTCAAGACACGAGATCACGGCAAGCTTCACAAAGACCTCTACGCTCCGCAAGCACCACAAACGCGCCGATCCCAGACGGGGGCAGCCGCCGGCGCCAGACACCCCCCTTCCCCGCCGACCGCGGCGCGCCGTCCCGCTCCCACGGGGTGCCCAGCCGAGAGCCCGGAGCCGGGCCGTGGCGCGCACCTGGCCGTGGAGCGTTCGATGGTGAGCTTGGCCAGCCCGCCGGCCAGCCCCATGCCGTGCCGTCGCCGCCCGGCTGGTTCACGCGAACTCGCGGGTCACGCTGTACGACTTCTTGCTGAGCGTGTTGCCGGGCGTCGACTGCGGCGTCGAGTGCGCCGACGACGTGGTGTAGCTGACGTTGCGCGCGCCGTTCGCCTCCTGGCGGGACGTCTCGTGGCGCGACGAGTCGTACCTGGCGGCCGGCCGGCGGGCGCGCGTTAGCGGACGGCGCTCGGACGGCGACCGCTGGCGCGGTTCGGCGGGAGGCACGGGCACAGGGGCGCTCGGACGGCGACCGCTGGCGCGGGTCGGCGGGGGCACGGGCACGCAGGCGCCGGATATCTCGAACACACAGGAGTCCCGGCCACTCCGGACCAACGAGGCACTCCCGACCATCAGCGGGTCAGAGGCTTACGTGTCATTTGTCACAGAGATTAAACAGTAAAAAAAAAAAACAGCGGAAAGCTCGTTCATGACGCATATCGACACACCACGTCTGAGCGCTTGGGCATTGCAACACGTCGCAAACACATACTACACCGTGCCCCATCAAACAACATGAAGTGTAACTACGGCCCATACAGTCCTAGCGCCAGCCGGAAGTGCAGACCGCCACTGGCGGATCTCGAGCGACTGCGAGGGGCGCTCTGGCCGGCTCGACCCACACTGGAGCCGCGCCCACCGCGCAGTGCATCCCCGTTGGGCCAGGCGGGAGTGAGCGCACCTGGTGGAGCTGTCGTAGCCGCTGAGGTAGCCCTCGCCCTCGCTGTCGCCGCCCTCGCCGTACTTGGCGCGACGCAGGGCGGCCAGCTTCAGGCGGGCGTCCTCGAGCTCGCGCTCCTTCCTCAGCACCTGGTCGCACGTCGGCGGGTCACGCACAGCGGCAGCCCAGCGGCGGCGGCCGGCCACCCACACACCGGCGTCGCTCAGCCGAGCCCACGCCCGCGACATCGGCCGCAGCTCGGCCTCGCTGGCGCCATCATGGGTCCACGCATCGACTGACCGTCGCCTCGCTTCAACGTTCTAAGCCTGACTTTTAGAGCCATTACGTCAAGCTCGGACGTGCAATGCCCGCCCGTGACGTCACGAAGAAGCAGAACACCACGACACCCGCGGCACAAATCCCAACTACCCGCGCACCCGCTGGCGTCCGCCGCGGGATCTCCGCCCCGTCGCTGTTCACAGACGCAGCGCGGCGGCGCCGCCGTGGCCGTACTCACGTCACTCTGGGCGTCCAGCTCCTGCGCCAGGCCGCCCACCAGCCGCTTGTTGAGGATCAGGCTGCGCTCCTCGTCCTGCTCGATGGCCTGCTGCGCGGCGCGCACCAGGTTGTCGGTGGCCTTCTTGACGCGGTTGCCGGCCTCCTGGAGGCGGCGCGTGGCCGCCGAGTCCGGGTCGGCCTTTACCTTGCAGGCCACCAGCAGCTGGGCCGTGGAGCCGGCCACCTGGCGGGCAGCGCGGCAGTCAAAGGACAGAACCGGGCTCCGCAGGCTACGCACTCGCTTCACCGAACCGGCAACCGTGGCCGCCTAGGCGGCACGACCGGCGAGCACGACAACCAGACGGCTCACGCACCTGCACAAACTGTGACCGGCTTCAATCAATAACTGGGTGACAAACGCCACCGCGTCATTTCAAGCGGCCACTGGCGGCGCCAGCGTGGCCGCCTCACCTGTTTGGCGGCCGAGATGAGCATCTCCTCGGACGAGTGGCCCTGCACCAGCGAGTTGGCCGCCTGGCAGAGGCTGTGCGTGGCCACGGCGACGGTGCGCGCCGCCGAGATCAGGCCCTCCGACCACTGGCCGTCCTCGCTGGTGTAGTGGGCGCGCTGGCTCACCTGCGGCGGCGGCGCGCGCTCAGAGCGGCACAGTTGCCGCACGCCGGCCGGCCAGCGCGGCCGCCGGCCCCGGGGGCGGGGGCGGGGTGGCAGCGGTGGCGGCCGCCGGGCGGGAGCACGGCATGGGGGCGGAGAGGAGAGCGGCGACAGGGGGCCGGCCTCGAGAGCGGCGTGGACGACAGGGTTGGCGCCGCGCTGCCGTCTGACGCCGACGGCCGACAGGCGCCGGGCGGCGCCGCAGGCGCAACGACAGGCCGGCGGTCGACAGCGGACGGCACAATAGAACGGCGCGTGACGGGTGGCGAGCGCGCTCGTCCCGGCCCGTCCTGACACATTCGGCACGGACGCTGCCGGCACGCACGCGCCGAACGACACCCGGTCACGCTACAACTCAGCCGTTCTATCGTGCGAACTCGGAAGGGTCACGAGCTTACAACACATGAGAGCAGCCTCGACATATTGTGCACATCGCTGGGAGCGCTCAATAAGCCTAAGTATCACATGAAGGCTAGACCTCGTCTCGACCCCAGATGGACCCGTGCGTGCCACCCCCTGTTTCTCCGTGCACTACGCCGAAAGTCAAAATTCCCGAATCAAACATTTTTAACAACTACCCGAACAGTCGAACGCATTACGGCGCAGTCTAGCGGCCGGGCGCCGCTCTCAGCACACCGTCGTCAGCGGGCCGTCTGACGGCGGTCCGGACGGCACGGCGGCGCCCCACTCACCAGTCCCCGGTCCACCAGCTCGCGCTGCGCCGACGAGGCGGCCTTCACCAGCGCCGAGGTGGCGGCGGCGATCGCCTGGCACGAGTCCAGGATCAGCTCGTCGAAGTTCAGGTCCTGGTCGGCCTCCTGGGGACGGCCAGCCGGCTCGGTCAGGGGCGCCGGGCCGGCAGTCGGCCGTCAGCCACGCGGCCCGGCCAGCGCCGCGGCCGTCGGCGACTGTGCAGCCCGTCGCTAATAATATGTCTGATATCTGGTTGATTTAAGGCACAACCAAGAATATCAAACATATCTTAGCGCCGGGTGCTCACCCTCTCGCTGCACATGTTTTCTTCGGCGACGCCTGACAGCGCGCCCGTGAGGGCCGGCAATGACGTCACTACCCAGAGCGCGGCGAGCATCAGCCAACACAACATACCAACGGGATGCACGGCCTCGAGCGCGACGACGATACATCCGTGGCTATGCAGCGTCTCAACCGCATTACAACGCCTTCAAACCAGCCTTCTTCGCGCGTCTGGCATACATAGTTCGGACGGCTCGCAGTTTCTAACGCGTGCACGCTCGGACAGCGCCGCACGCTTCGCGCGTGAACAGAATGACCCCGTACAAAGCGACGCCGGCTCAGTTCACCGCATCGAACCCGCTGCAGGTCAGCGCTTCGCGGCGCCATTTGAGCGCACACACCGGGGCCAGCCCACGCTCGCGGCTGCGGGCCGAGCCTCCGCCACCAGCGGCGGCGTGCGCGGACGCGTGGCGGAAGGAGCGGCGAAAGGCGCCGCACAAACCTTGACGGGCCGGCGCGGCCGCAGGCTGGCCAGCTTCTTGGCGGCGGCGTCGATGGAGGACGCGGCGCCGAGCAGCTCCGTCTCGGCGATGGCGCACGGGTCGTCCGGGTCGACCCAGTCGCCGCCTGCGGGACACAGGGCGCGCCCGTCAGCACCGCCCCGGCCCGGGCTCGCGGGCGGCGCCGCGGGGACGACAGACCGGCTGTCCGGAGGCGGCCGGGAGCGGCGCGGCGGACGGGAGGCCGCCCGGCGGAGACGGCCGAGCGGCCGGTGGAGGGGGCTGAAGACAGGCGAGCTGCCAGCGCTCCGACGTCTCGACCACGCTCCGTCAGATCTGCTTTCGCGTGTGTATGTTTCGCCCGAGACGTGTTTCACTGCGCAAAGGCTGGAGAAAGGACTTCACTTGAAGACAATCTAAGCCACGATATTCGATTGGCATGTAGGCATGTAAGCTTTTGCTGAATACATACCATGTGGCATTTGCGGGTCCATCATCTACAGTACAGAGCGTGATTAATGGCCACACCAGAAGCCACCTGTTATATATGTCATACCTCAGAAGGTAGGTGTTATGGGATTAATCAGATAAGCCTGACGAGTGAGTGGTGTTGATGCACGGGGTGTCAGGTTGGTCCGCGACAGGCGCGGCGCACCAGTTCCCTTACCTGCACGTATGTGCAGCTACACCATCAAACACATAGCTTTCACACCAGCGGAAGAAAACTGACCACACTGCCATCTGTCGCCGAGCGTCGGACAACATCCAAAGCGTCAGCCGCAGCTCGGTGCTGCGCGGCCGAGCCGCTCGGACGCGCCGCGTGCGGCCGCCGCAGCAGCGTCAGCTCCGGCTGAGCGGGCGTCCAGCTACGCTACGACGCGGGCGGGGGCGGGCGGCGCGAGCGACGCCGCCCCGGCGCCACATTCCCATGCTCGGCAGGCAGACGGCCGGCCCACGGCGGCCCGCCGCCACAGCCAGACAGGTCAACGAAGAGAGGCGCCGGCCGGCCGCTACGGAGATCAGTGGAAGCGCAGGCATCACTCGGTTACCCGGACCGGGCGGCGGCGTCACCGGCGCCCGGGCGCGCGCGGCGCCGAGCCCACCGCAGCGAGGCGCTTGCGGTGCGGCGGGCTCCGCGCGCACGCGGGCCTGACCGGCAGCTGACGTCACACGCCGGCTGACGTCACGCGCCAGCTGACCGGCCGGTGACGTCGCGCCCGGTCCACGCCAGGGATTAGGTCGGCAGCTCCTGCTAGACTACGTACAGGTCCCGTTCCGTGGATTATCCGCTGGCTGCGAGCACACGCACGCACTCACCGTTGCCATGGCGACTGTAGCCCCCGCCGCTCTCCACTGCGCGGACACGTACAGGTCAGACGGGGCACACGCGCACACAAGCACTCGGCGCCGGCGCCCGCGCGCGTGCGCAGCAGCAAAACCACTCAAGTCTGGCCAAAAACGCGCCGCGCGGCGGACGCCACGTCACTCCCACACGGACGGCGGACAACCGAGCTAGAGGGCTGGCGCGCCGCGTCGCCGCCGGCGGCCAGAGCGACGGACCAGCTGCTGGCGCCGCGGCTGGGCGGCGGCCGGGAGCAGGAGTGTGTGCCGCGCCGGCGCCGGACGGAGCCCCCAGGACGCCGAGACTCCGCCGCAGGCCGCCGGCCGTCCCAGCAGCTCGCCGACACACGCCCGTGGTAGACACAGAGGACGGTAGCCAAGCAACGAAAAAGGCATTATGGGGTGGAGCCGACAACCGACAACCCGACAAAGAACGCGCTACGTGTAAGCAAAAACGAAGCCACCGCGTCGTAAAACCGTGTGCGACGAGACGGTGCGGTCGCCACGCGCCTCAGCAAGCGTGCGTGAGCGTGGCAGGACGGGCGGGGCGGGACGGGCGGGTGAGACGACCACGGCACGCGGCGGACGGCCGCCGGCGCGCGACCCCACGCACCTTTGAGCTGCTCGGCGGCGGCCACGAGCTCGGTGACGCACTGGGCGATCTGGCGGCTGACGGCCGGCAGCTGCTGCTTGGCCTCGGCCGTCGGCTTGTTGAGGATCGTCAGCACCCACTGCAGCAGGCGGCGGTACTCGGCCGCGATGCTGTGGCCCGCCTCCAGCGTGCAGGTCTTCAGCTCGGCCGACTCGGCGGCGTACGCCGCTCCCTGCCGACACGGCCGACGTTCAGCGGCCGGGGGGGGACGGCGGGGACAGCCACAGCACAGCGCGAGCCCTCAAACAGGGGCGGGCGCGGGCTACCACCACACCAGCAATTATGAATATTCAACCACACCGTCCACGTCACAGAATAGGTTGGCAGGAACGAACACAAGCACCGCCTGCAGAAGCTGGCAGCGACTCCCGACCGTCACAAGATACTCCTCCCTCCCCCTCCCTGCCGGCGCTGCGAGAGCCCAGCTCCCCCCGCCGCCGCCGGGGCGGGTCGGCCTACCTTGCAGGCGGTCAGCATGTCGGCGATAGCCTTGCGGCCGGTGTTGGCGGCGGCGATGACGTCATCCTGGCGGCAGCTGTTGCCGGCGGCCACGGCGCGCGCCGTCGCCTGCGTGACGGGCTTGGTGGCGCGGATCAGCTCCTCGGGCGACACCTGGCGGGTTGGCGCCGAGCCAGTCACACGTGAGTGACGGCATTGCAGCGTTCGTCGCGCATATACTGGCAGGTGACCACAAACGCAGGCACCAGACGGTCACAGCGGTTCACCGAACCTCCGCCAACAGGCCTCGAGCACGTCTAGGAACTCCAATCGAGAGCGTCGGCCCATGTCGACCTCACGCGCCTAACACCGGCGGCGCGGCGGTCGGCAGCGCCAGCGCCGCGCCGGCGCTGGGCCGTCAGCCCACCTTGTTCTTGGGCGGCTCGGCCGAGTCAAAGGCGCGCAGCTCCTGCGCCAGTGCCTCGACGGTGGCCTCGAGCGCGCGCGTGCCGCGGTTGTGCTCGTCCTCCACCACCTTGACCGTCTTCAGCAGGGAGGTCACGTTGGTGACCATCACCTGCGGACGAGCAGCGGCGGCGTGAGCGGCGGCGACGCGCCAGCCGGCGGCGGCCGACGGCCGCGCTACGCACTCACAGCACGCGTACACGCACGCACACGCACTCAGAGCACGGACGGCGGTCGGGCGCCGAGCCGGGCGCCATGCTCCAGCCTCGTCCGGGCGGCCCGCCGGCGACGCCCTGCGGACACCGCAGGCGGCTATGCACACAGCAGGCTGGCTGGCTGGCTGGCAGACGGGACTCGGGCGGGCTCTAGCTGACAGACAGGGTGGCAGGGTGGCAGGGCGGGCGGGCGGGCGGGCGGGTTAGCGGAGGCCCAGCGCGCCGCAGACGGCGCCACTCTACACAGCTATGTCTAGCCAGACGCGGCGCCAGCACGCCCCGGTTAGTGAAGGAGGGCGCTCAGCACGCCGGGCCAGCCTACCTGGGCAGGTGCGGACGCCGAGACGGGTTCCGTCTCTCGCTAGCCGGGGCTCGCAAGCCCGCCCACAGTCGGCGTGTGTATCAAAACTCGTGTATTTAAAGCTCAAGCGACAGATAGACGGGCCTGGCAGCGACCCTGGCGCGCACCGCACCGCCAGTTCCGCCGGCCCCGAGCCTCTGGCGGGCGGGCGCGGCAGACCGCCGGGCTCCGCCTCAACTCTTATACACGCCGACTGACAGGCAATGCTGGCCCTGCGGCTCTTTAGCGCGCAGCAACTATCCGTGCCACGGCTTGGCCGCCGTCTCTGGGCCTCTCCAGCGGACGCGCGGGCAGAGGGCGCGACTCGCCCCGCCTCCAATATCAGATGAGCGGCACTGCTGGGCCAGCGACTACCCAGCGCGCGCCAGCTCTAAGCACCAAAGCGTCACCACCGTCTCGAGACGTCCCTAGCGAACACGCGTGACACGGGGGCCTGGCCCTGCCGCACACCCCCGGCCGCGCGCGGGACTCCAGCGCGCGCGCGCGGCCGGCTTCAGAAGCTGCGGATAATTTTGGCGTCGTCAATATCGCCTTGCGGCTGATTGAGATTTTCGACACTAAGCAAGCGGATTAGCTCCTCCTCCTGGTCGGACACGGCCCAATCAGTAACGTAGTCTGACTCTGATGTGTACCCCTGGCGGTGGAGACAGAAACAGAAATCAGTGCACGCAGAGAAAGAGAGAAAAAGGCGGATGGGGGTTTCAAAAACGCCGAGAGTCGGCAGTGAGTGGAGGCGCACGCCTGAGTTCTATTTCTGTTTTGACTACAGACAAAACGTCGGAGAAGGAGAAGGATGACAGCCCAGATCTCTACATAGAGAAGACACGCAAAGTGAGTGGTCGCCCGCACACGTCCCCAGATCGCACTGATACTGGACAGAAACCTCACGCTAGGGGGTGTTCAACTACCGAAAGATCTTGTCGCGTATGTCAATGCAACGCACATGTCACGGATCCTCCACCGCAGGACACTCGCCCATGGCATAACACGTCTGTGTCTGGATCCCAGGGGCGGATCCCGGATCCCGTCGGGTTCCGTGTTTAGTGGAATCATGGGACCTTTTGCTGTGCCCACGCCAGCCTGCCTATCACATGGGGTGCGTTCGATTAATTGAGGACGGCACAGCCCACGTGAGGAGTATGCATGTTTTGTGCCCTTCCATTGAGCCGTAACCTGTAGCGACCTTCTCGACTGCCCTTGGTCTGAAACAGCAGCATGTGGCTTTTGAGTCTTGAAGAAAACACAACGGTGAAATCGATGCTATGGTGTCACTTAACTTGTGGCTGGCCAATAACCCGCCCATACGACGCGTTTCAACCACGTTTCGTAACACATGCACGATTTCGTTCCTCAATGTAGCGTTTCGGCTGCGGTTATCTCAGAGTCACCAAGGTAGGGCTGTCTCAGGGCCACCAACCAGATATTTTGCACAAAAAGGTCCGGCATGTGTCCTCACCCGACGGCAAAACGGCCAGGCGGCAATGGGTCCGCGACACCGCAAGAGCTCCGCGCCGTCCGAACTAATCGAACGCATCCATAGTCACGATTCCCGGATGGCATGCCCACTAACGTGAAGAATTCCATGAACAGAGGTGAACGGAGGGCGGTTCGACTCGCTCACGATGGCAGTCATCGGTTCACGAGACTAAACAACCCTTCACACCTGACTCAGCGCACCAGCCCCTCACATCGACACGCAACCGCCGCCATAATCTGTCATCAAGGCAACAGCCCAGACTGGCCCTGCATCGGACGACCTTGAGACGGCCGACCTGCCCATTCGGGAGGCGGCAGACGCCAGGTGGCTCCCAGAGCACCGCTGATGCTCAACCAGGCGGAGCGACCACTTTGCCGCGCGCAGTCTCAGCTTCCGCGCAACCCCCGCCACCAGCTCGGGCCCGGCGCGCCTCCCGTCCTACCCCACACCAGAACCAGCCCCGTCCCCAGACGACGCGGGTCCGGCGCGCCTCCCACCCTGCCCCACACCACAACCAGCCCCGTCCCCAGACGACGCGGGTCCGGCCGCCGCGCTCACCTTGGCGGAGTCCTTGAGGTTGAGCATGGCCGGGTCGGTGGAGGGCTTGCCGGCGGCCGACTTGGTGGCGTGGATCAAATCACCGAGTGCCGAGGCCACGTCTCTCACGGCGTTCATCAGCATCACCTGGCGGCAGCGGTGGCAGCGGCGTCACGGCCGGCCCCGCCCACGCTGGCGCCGCCACACCGCGCCACCACTCACAGCGTCTGAGCATCACCTGTCGCCATCTGGCCACGCACGCCGCTGCCGCCACCCTGTCGCGGCGATCCTTCGCGAAGCGCGCCATTACTATGACGATTCGCGCCATTATTGCGCCGATTCGCATCACAACCTCTGCAGCGGCCGAAACAGAGCGGCCCGCCGGCTCCGGCAGCCACATCGGCAGCCTCGCGCCGGCCGGCCGGCTGCACGGCACGAGCGCAGCGCGCCGCCGCCGCCGCGGCCCGGCGCGCCCACTGACCTGGGCGTCTGTGTTGTCGGAGCCGAGGCTGGCGGCACCCAGCTTCACCACGTCGGCCAGCTGCAGGATGGTGGCGACAGCGTTCTGCGCGGCCGACGCCAGCTGCTCCTGTGTGCTGGCCGCGCCCGCCACCAGCGTCTTGGTGTCCTCCACCAGCGCCTTGGCCGTCTTCAGGATGGTCTCGCGATGGTCGGAGAACGTGTCCTCCTCGTTCTCGGCGGGCAGCGTGCCGGCCGTGGCGAACTGGCGGCCAGGGCGGGTGGGGTCAGACGGGGGAGGCGCGGCGCCCGCGGGACGGGCGGGGCAACCCCGTCCAACGGCCGGGACGAGTCCTGTCCAGTCTCGACGAGTCCTGCACGCCACGGCTCTTGATCACTGCCACCCGCCTGGCGCTCACATCAGCGTCACCGGCATCGAGGGAGAAATCGCAAGGTGACAAAAGCAAACAAGAAAAAACATTGGCCACTCCGAAACTAAGCATTGGGCAAGGTGGCAACACAGCTTTGCAGCCGCCAACAATGAAAGAAAGAAGACGGTCGGCTGCCTGCGGGCGGTCGGAGGGGCGACGTCCAGCGGTCGGCGAAGGCCTGAGGGCGGCAGCCAGCAAACTCGAACTCACCATGATGGTGGTGTCCAGGTCGCCGATGATGCCGGACACGGTGGAGGCGGCGTTGATGCAGGCCTGCGTGCCGCGCGAGCCCGCCTGCAGGGCCGACAGCACCTGCGCCACCTGCCATCACGGACGGCAGCTCGGTCAGCCTCGCGCCGGCGGCCGACGGTCCGCCGCCAGGGCGCGCACCGGACCGGCCGACTGGCTGCGCCCCACAACCGCCAGTGTCAGCGGCGCCGTCACACGACCGCCACCGGGGAACGTAACGCCACCGAGCGGCCCACACAGCTCTGCAGCCGGCGTCCGCCGCGCGCGACATCTGTAGGCGGCGCACACGCGCCCACGGCTCTCGGCGCCGACCCACGTGGGCCGCTTCAGAACAACAGCGCGACACGTGCCACCTTTAGGCGTCGGCCGTCTCCGAGCGGTGGCGGCGCGGGCGGTCGCACCTTGTCCTGGACCAGCTTGTTGGACTCGACGACGTCGCGCTGCGCCGCCTGGTCGCCGGGCGCGGCCTGGCAGCTGCCGCCCGACTTCACGATGCCGACGCACGCCTGGCCCAGGTCCTGCACCGACGAGTGCAGACGGTTGCTGCGGCAGACGCCGGAGGAGCGCGCGGTTAGCGGCGCGCGGAAAAAAAACGCAAAGGAAAGCGCAGCAAACGGCGCGCGGAAAAACACGCGGGAAACGCGGCCAGCAGCCGGCGTCGAGATGCGGCACAATGTGGTAACAGTCCCGCAGTATACCGACAAGCTCGCTGAAAAACGCGGCTGGCGGCCGGCGGTACGCGGAGAAACGTCAGAAGACATGGCTAGCGTTCATCCATGCGCGAAGAAGTGACTGTCTCAGGGCTGACTTCCTGTCAGGGCCAGTGGCGGCGGTGGTACAGAAGAAACACACCGGGCAATACCGCTGCCCCGACTGCACGCGGCACAACAGTCAGCGACCGGCGCACACGGACCACACACGGGGTCAGCGACCAGATGAATGTCAGGAAACGTAGGGGGATACACGGCCGGTGACCAGCGGTGCACAGCGAAACTTATCGACAGGTGAAATAAACCCAAGTCACCTATCGCACCGGACGACGGGCAGAGCACGCAGTCGCACGGCCGCGGCCGGTGTCTTACCCCACCCCGGAGAGAGGGCGGTGCTGCGGCCGGCCCGAGCGCGGGGCTGGGCAGCCAGCGGCGGCACCGGTCGGTGTCTTACCCCACCCCGGAGAGAGGGCGGTGCTGCGGCCGGCCCGAGCGCGGGGCTGGGCAGCCAGCGGCGGCAGCGGCCGGAGTCTTACCCCACCCCGGAGAGAGGGCGGTGCTGCGGGCCCGCGAGCGCGGCTGGGGCCAGCGGCGGCAGCGGCCGGAGTCTTACCCCACCCCAGAGAGAGGGCGGTGCTGCGGCCGGCCCGAGCGCGAGGCTGGAGCCCGGCGGCGCGGCCGTGTCTTGCCCCACCTCGGAGAGAGGGTGGTGCGCGGCCGGCCCGAGCGCGGGGCTGGAGACCAGCGCGCGGCGGCCGCGGTGGCGGCGGCCCTCACCTGATGTCCGAGTTGTTGGCCACCATCACGGCGCCGCGGCTGTCGGCGGCCAGCTGGCTGTAGTGGTGGCTGATGTCGGCCGCTAGCTGGCCCAGCTGGCCCGGCTCGGTCGCCGACTTCTGCGACATCTCCTGCGATGTCTTGCTGATCTCGCGCACCGTCCTGCACCATGCGCGTCTGGTAGTCGACGAAGCTCAGGTCGCCGTAGGCCCTGCGGGCAGAGGGCGCGCACGTCGCTCAGCCCACGGCACGTCGCAGAGGGACCGAGCTGAGCACGGCCGCTGTGCCTGCCGTCGGCCGCCGGCACAGTGGTCCGCTCGGCCGGGCCGAGGCGGCGCCGGCCGGTGCACGCCTCCAGACGCCTCCCCACGTGTGGCGCACAGCACCCGCCCACCTGCTGTCCGTGTAGTCCTGCTGCACCATCGACTTGTTGATGGTCTCGATGACGCCGCTGACGAAGCCGGCGTTGGCCGCCTGGTGCTCGATGCTGGAGAGCAGGTCCTGCGCCGCCTCCTTCATGGTGTCGGCCGACTCGTCAATGTCCGAGTGGATGTGCGTGGCCTGGGGGCACCAGCCGGTCAGGCAACTGGAATTTCAGCCCAAACGGGCCCGGATCTCCCACGCTGTCACGTGTCCATACATAAACATTAGGCTTGGACAGACTTTGGCAAATACCAGCTGTGATCGGTGCTGACGATATCTCTGGGATGGATATATCTGGGGCATCTTGGTACGCCGATACATCATGTGACATTTGCAGCTGTTCTTACAATATTCAGAGTAGTTGTGGTTGAAGTGGGTGGAAAGCACGGCACTCTCGGCAACAAGAAAAAAATGCAGATAAAAGAAAACGATGGCTAGTTGAAGGGCACGCATCACAAGGGAACGGGAAATGGTCAAAGTCGTAGTGAGTTTGGTCCCTTTCGTCACATTCACCGCGGGAAAGGTGCATCCATATCTGAAAAAGGCGCATCTCAATAAGAACACGGGATAGCTGATCAGAATACTCTTGGCAGAGCCACAAATAAAGTTGGCGGGACGGGCAAAAGGTCACACAGACGAAAACAGTCGCAGTGACACGAAATGCCACAAAGTAACTGCTAAGCCATCACGTTAAGCCCTTCCAATGATGGCTCTTCTATCCACAGCCCCACAGCCGGCGCGAGTTTCACATGTGCCAGACTGTGCTCGGCAGCTGAGAGGAGGGGGGAGAAGCTCACCAGGCGTTACCCTCTTGACGCGAGCACTCGATCAGTCACCATCGCTCCTCCAGGGCCGTCTGATCCCTCCGCCGGTCACACGAGGCCACGCGCCGGCCGGTGCTGCCGCCGGCGCGGCTTCTTACCTTGGGGTTGCCGCCGCCCTCCTTGGCAGCGTACAGCAGCTGGAGCGCCGACTCGGTCAGCGTCTTGGACTGCTCGAGCAGCATCATCTGCTGCTTGGTGTTGATCATGTGCGAGCTGGTGCCGACCACGGACGAGACGAGCGGGTCGAAGAACGAGGTGAGCGCGGTCACGCCGTGGCCCAGCCGCTCCGCCTCGCCCTTGGCCGCCATGCGCACCTTGTCCACCGTGTTCAGGATCTGTGGAGAGCGGGCAGGACGGGTCAGAACGACGCCGCGAAGGGCCGGCCGCAGAGCATCAACCCCACAGCACTGAGTACTGTGCGCCCAGAACTTTTAGCTCGTGCACTAGTATTTGGGACTTATATCAGGACTAATATAATACTAATATTTAAATGCGTGCGAATACGCGATCGGGGAAGAGTAATAGCCTAGGTTGAGCACATTAAGAGCACATTTTCCATGCATCTACCAATGTAAGGGACGGTCTAAGGCACACATAATTAAGCACAAATGAACATCACACGGGTCCTACCCGACCAGTGTGCCGCTGCATCTAACGCATCACGCACACGCCAGCACCAGTACTCCACAACGCCTACACAGCCAGTTCCTTTAAAAGACTAGCTCTTCTACGGGCCGAAGCCGGCCCGCGCCTTCCCCACTGCGGTAGCGCCGGCGCGGCTCACCTGGCTGGCGGCGTTCTCGGCGCGGTCGCTGAAGCCCTGCAGCGTGTTGTCGCGGCGCGGCGCCAGGCTCTGGCTGGCCACGGCCATGCTGGCCTGGTCCAGCTCGCGGATGCTCGCCGACAGCTTCTCGATGCTGTCCTCGCACTCCTTCTGGCCGGGCGCCTTGTCGCGGATGGACGAGACGAGCGCCTTGATCGAGTCGGACACGTCCTTGCTGTGCGTGGCCAGCGACTGCCAGCGGCCCGGGTCGCGGCTGTTGACCGCCAGCGACTTGGCGGCCGTGATGAGCGAGCACGAGCCGTCGATGATGCGCTTGCCGGCGTCGCCGATCGGCTGCTGCGCCTGCTGCGCCTTGGTCGAGATCTTGGCCGGCACGGACGCGAACTCGGGCGAGTTGGCGAAGCTGCACAGGTTGTCGACGGCCTCGATGAGCGGGCGCGTGGCCTGCGCGCACCGCTGGCGGTTGGCGTCGCTGTAGTCCTGGTCCAGCGCCTTGATCTCCTTGACGAGCGCCGCCGTGGCATTGGCCACGTCCTTGGCGGCCTGCACGAAGTGCCGCTTGGCCACCGGGTTGGTGGACTTGCCGCTGGCGACGCGGCAGCTGGTGCACAGCGCCGACGTGTGCTTGGCGATCTGCGTGGCGGCCGAGAGCACCTGCTGCTGGCTGCTGGTGCGGTCCGTGAGCGCCTGGCACGCCTGCTGGATGGCGTCGCGGGCGCGGCCGAACTGGCTCTGGTCGACCAGGCCCGGCCGGCCGGCCACCGAGGTCGGGTCCGAGACGCCGATCAGGTAGCTGGCCTGCGCGGCCGACTCGATCAGACCGCAGATCGAATCGGAGACGGAGCCCACCGACTGCGCGAACCGCTCCGGCTCCGGCTGCCGCGTGTGGTTGGCGATGCCGGTCATGCCGTCGCCTGCGCGCGGAGGCGGCCATCAGCGCGTGGCGGTGGGCGACCGACGACGGCGCGATGCAGCGCAGACAATGCCGCAGACGATCGCAAGCAAGCACTAAACAACGCGCTCAGCTCGGCCTCTTACAGTCTCCGTTTAAACTAGCGAGGCATGAAGTCAGCGATATGGAGAATCAGCTCTAACCACTCACACTCCGTCTTTCGGTAACAGCAAAACGCATCCAAGAAAATCTTCACAGCTCGTGCTGAGCCGCAGAAATCAATAGCATTCTCACAGCAACAAATGACACCACATAATCAGCACTCTGGTGCACACGTCCAGTTCTCCAACACGCCGCGCCGTTCCACCCGGCCGGCGGCGGCGCCACGTACCCAGACTGCGCGACTTGTCCATGACGGTCTCGAGGCACTCGAAGTAGGAGCTGTCGCTGACCGGCTCGGTGGGGTTGGTCAGCAGCGGCCGCATGCTCTGTATCTGACGGATGGCGTTGTCGCACTCGCGCTGGCCCGGCGCCGCCGACGTGCACACGTTCACCAGACTGTTGATCGCGTCCGTCACCTGTCGCCAGCCGCTCCGTCAGCGGCCGCCAACGGCAGGTGCCGCGCGCGACAACCGACACCTGCCTCCTCCACTGGACAACAGCAACGGCGGAGGAATCGCCCGCAAACCCCGCGGACACTGAGCCAGCCATGCCGTTCGGTTCCGGCCAGCTACGACTACGGATCGGATTCCGGTGTTCGCGAACACTCCCGGCACCATGATCCAATGAACCGAAGGTGCATTTGCGTGAGAGCGGGCGCCTCACCTCCGTTCAAATATGGCGTGAACACAGCGACGAGTACCCCAATAATTTCAGTCAAACTATACCAAACTAGCAGCGGCCGCGTCGCTCCCATTCGACCGCAGTATCAGTATGAAGGCGGGTGGGGGAGGCGGGGAGCGCCGCCGCCACACACCTGTCTGGCGGCCGACGTCAGGTTGTTCTTGGCGTTGGGCGCGTTCGGGTCGGCCGAGACAGTTTTGGCGGCGTTCAGCAGTTTGGAGGAGACCGACGAGACGGACTTGAGCGACTCGACGATCTCGACACGGTTACGCTCGTCCTGCGGGAGAAGGACGCTGTCAGCCGCCGGTACCGCCGACACAGCGGAACAGCGGAGCAGCAGCCGCGGCGGCGCCCAGCCGCGCCACAGGCCGATCCCAGGCCACGCCAGGGCAGCTCCTGCGCTCGTGATAGGGATCAGCTCAGAGCTCGGGAAACGAATCACCCACCAGTCATGACATCGCAATCAAATGCTTCACTTTCTCGGAACGTGTGCACGCACACAACCGCTGATGTACGTCGCTACCGCGCCGCCAGAAATCAGCGCTTCCACCCCGGCACAGCCGGCTGAGCGTGACCCCGCCGGACGCCGACGCCGGTCCGCGCAGGCTGGGCGCCACCCACCTGCGTCTGACCGGCCATGCCCATGCCGGCCTCCAGCACGTCGCCGTACGCGGTGCCGAACTGTTGCGTGCTGCCGGCCAGGTGGGCGGGGCGACGTCTTGGCGCCGTGTACCACCTCGCCGGTCACGTCGTTCAGACGGGAGGCGGCGCGGCTCAGGTCACCCTGCAGCTCGCTGGGGACGGCGCAGCGCGAGGTGGGGTCAGCAGCACCCAGCCACCCGCCGCGTCCGCCGACAGACCGCACATGTCGAGCACCGGGAACGCCTTGCCCACGCACCGCGCAGTCCCACCCCAAAGCACCGATACAGTGGTAACCGACAGAGAATTGGCTCCCATGCACATTCATAAAACACATGTTTTCATTGACAACCATAAGGATATAGAAGAGCGGCCCCATTTACACCCTAGAGACATAAAAGAACGGCCACATTTACACTATAAAGACATAAGGACATAAAAACGGCCCACATGTCCCAGGCCGCTCCGCAGCCGGCGGCCGGGCCTGGCCTGGTCAGTCGCACCGCCCGTGCGTGGCGGGACGCTGCGCCGCCACTCACCCGTACGGCTTGGTGGCGGGCGGGAACTGGTGGCGCGTCAGGCGGCCGGTGGTTTCCGTGATCTCGTGCAGCACCACGTCCACGTCGCGCTGGCCCGGCAGGCAGTTGACGGTGTTGTTGAGCGCCTGGCTGACGCCCTGCGATGTCGGCCGGCGTTAGGTCGCCGTCCGGCGTGTCGACGCGCGCACACCAGGCGCCCGCCGATGGCACACACATGCCAGGGGAGCACGCCCAGAACGGAGGGAGAGAGAGAGCACACAGGAGGACGAGCGGGCGCCTCCTGTCTGTGGGAGACTGAGGAAGACGCGCGACCACCTGCCGGACCCGCCGGGCCGGGCCAGCCGAGGGAGGAGACAGAGAACGGCCGGGCGAGCCTATCACTCACCTTGGCCACCGTCTGCAGCTTGCGCTGGCTGTCGGCCGAGCGCGGGTTGGTGACGATGATCTTGACCTCCTCGATGAGCATGATGGACGAGCCCATCACGTCGTGGCCGGCGTCGATGACCCTGCGGAGGGCGGGCCACAGACGGCCGGGTCAGACAGCGGGCCGCGCCGGCGCACACAGGCTCGCGGCCACCGCACGCGGCCCGCGGCATGGTCCAAGTTGCATGCTGAGAGGAGGCAACTTAATAGAAGCAACATACAAACATATGGACCGTGTGCTGGCGGTGCCCCTCGAGCAAGCCGGACTTTGGTGGACGCAGGTGAATTGACCTGGACGAGACCAGCCAGGCGCTCACTAACAAACATCGTCCACCGTTCACCTGCGAGGCGGCAACGCCAATCAAACACGCGTCTGCACCACCTCCCACCCAGATAACGTGCAAGGATGCTAACATCCCCCTGTTTCAGTTATGTGCAGCTACTGGCCAGCAGCGGCGCCGGCGGAGCGCGGACTGACTTGTGCTGGGCCGTGCGGTCGTCGGTGGTGGCCGCCACACCGCGCACGGCGCCCGTGAAGTCGCGCAGCGCATTGGCCGTCTCGCGAGCGGCGCGGCCGGCGTAGTCCTCGTTGCCCTCGCTGGCCGCCGTCAGCAGCTGAGTCATGGTCGAGCCCACGGTCTTCTTGCAGGCGCTGAGACTGTGCGCGGGCCGACTCAGACTGCGGGCAGGGATCAGCAGAGGTCAGTGGCCGAGCTCGGGTGGCGCAGCGACGCTGCCCGCTCCGAGCACCCGTGCGATTGCCATGGGACAACAGCGCACTCAGCGCCCGTACCATTGGCATGGGACAACAGCGCACTCAGCGCCCGTACGATTGGTATGGGACAACAGCCCACTCAGCGCCCGTACGATTGGTATGGGGCAACAGCGCACTCAGCGCCCGTACCATTGGTAGGGACAACAGCGCACTCAGCGCCCGTACGATTGGTACGGGACAACAGTGCACTCAGCATCCGTGCGATTGGCGTGGGACAACAGCCCACTCGACGCCCGTACGATTGGTATGGGACAACAGCCCACTCAGCGCCCGTGCGATTGGCATGGGACAACAGTGCACTCAGCATCCGTGCGATTGGCATGGGACAACAGTGCACTCAGCGCCCGTGCGATTGGCATGAGACAACAGTGCACTCAGCGCCTGTGCGATTGGCATGGGACAACAGCGCACTCAGCGCGAAGAAACGCGACGGCCGGCCGGGAGGGCCGGCCGGCCGCCTCGCCGGCGCCGTCTGCCCCCGCCGTCGTACCGTCTCGCCGGGCAGCGGCTTCAGCTGGAGCGAGTCGGCCGCGTGCCGGAACTGCTCCAGCTCGTCGTCGAGGCCTCGGATCATGTCGAGCGCGGCGTCCACCTCCAGCGAGCCGCACGCCTCCTGGGCGCGCGCCATCGACGCCTGTCCGCAGGAGCAGACGCTGGGGCGGGCGGACCGGACGGCCGGGGAGAGCAGGGCAGGTCGGATCCGGTCGCATAAGACGGGGCCTTCAGCACTCCAGACCAGCTGGCTCACTCGTAACGCCCCGTTCCAAACAAACAGCGCACATAACATTTCAAAACTCGTTTCATGGATCGTACTTTGCAGTCAGGGAATCAATCGACGCACGTCAAGCAAGCTGGTGGAAGTGTGCAAGAACGAATACCAAGACCGCGGACTCTGGTACGGAATGAAATGTCCCAATACAAGAACAACAAGAACCGATGAATCCATAAGCGCCCTTAAGCCGATTTCACATCGCACAAACAGAAACATGCGTAAGCTTAGCCACGTATACAAGGCCGAACGATTCAATTTCACCGATGTCTTATCTATAAATGAAGCAGGACTTATATCATATATCAAATTTAGATACTTCGGATGTGCGTCAGTAGTATTAAAAACCTACGTAGTTTATATTTGCGCTCCGTGAAATCGGCTTCAGACATTTCGCACTGGCAAGCCAGGCACCACGTTCCGGAAAGGAGTGACGAATGGCTCGAGGAGTCGCTCACGTGCGGACGGCTGGGATACCGGTCGGCGGAGGAGTTCGGAGCCACGCTGCAGATGACGGCCTCGGTTCGGATCGGGAGGAAGTGGTCCCAGTCGGGGCCGGGTCAGGCCGGGTCAGGCCAGGTCAGGCCAGGTCAGGTCAGGTCAGAGCGGACCTGCAAGTCGGCCAGCGCGGCGCTGAACTGCTTGCTGGTGTTGCTCAGCTGCAGCGCCGACGACTCGTCCTGGACGGTCGGCAGCGCCTGGCGCACGCTGTCCACCATCTTGGTGCTCGGCTGCACGAACGACTGGCACGCCTGCGGAGGCCGCGGGCCGACGGCGGTCAGGGGCCGGGCGCGACACGCCACGCCACACGCTGCGGAGCGCCCGACAACTCACACACACACACCGCGCTGTGAAGCAGGCCGCCCTACTGGAGAGGCGCCCAACCCTCCTCCAGCACTGTATTTGGCTATTTTGCGTCTTATTTGGCTGCAACCATCGCTTACTATACTAGCAGGCTGTTTCTTTCGCCCCGTTTCAGACATTGATGACAATGATCCAAAAGCGACTTGAAGCACAAGCCTCCGTAGATGCCTTCGGTCTAACACATGATCGCGTGCCTGTCACACGCCTCAGGCGACAGCGCGTGATGTGCCGGGCCGCCGTTCCGTCCGCGGCCGGCGTCCGTACCTGCAGCAGATCGAGCTGGGCGCGCGACGAGTCCGGCTCGGACAGCGTGCCGCGGATGCTGCGCACCAGGTTCGGGATCTGGTTGGCCACCTGCTTGCAGTCGGATATCATCTCGTCCTGGGCTGCCGGGTTGGCGTTGTACGGGCCGGCGCCCTGGCCGGCGGCGATGCACTGCGTGGCGGAGCTGGCCGCGTGCTTGGCCGTGTCCTGCGGGCGCCGGCCGGCTCGGGTCAGGTCAGGTCACGAGTGGCTCGGGTCACGCGCGGGTCAGGCCACCAAAGGGCAGTCACGTCGGAGGAGACCAGGCGCCGATTGCCTCGACAATACGGGGCGAAACAGGGCGGGCATGGAACGGCCAAAGGTCACAGCCGCTCGGAGCCACGACAGCGCAACTGTGATATTGTCGGTCAAAACGGCGCCATCCAGCCAACGACAGCAGCGCACACTGCTCTTGGGCCGTCAGAGGCCACAGAGCCAGAGCTCTCCAGTGCATATGCGGCGAGCGCCGGGTCCAGCCCCAGGGGGCCCACTCCCCTCGTGCCAGAGAGGGCATCACGCCCGCCCGGTTTCCAGCCTTCCCACAGACGGCCGCTCTTCGTCTGCTCGCATCTGCTCTGCGCTCCCCCAGCGATCTCACACCGCTGTCGACCCACCTCGAGCCGCTTGATCATCTTCTTGCGGAGGACGTCGGAGGCGGCCAGGCTGGTGGCCGAGCGTAGGTCCTCAGCCGCCTCGCGCAGCCGCTGCTGCTGGTCGGCGTTGCGTGGGTCGGAGGCGCACTGCTTGGCCGCCTGCGGGCCGATGACGCCGGGTCACCGCGCGCAGCTCCACGTCAGCCATAGTCGGAGACACGACCACCGCCGCCGGGTCAGGCAGAAGGCAAGATCGTGCAGTCGGTGGCACGGTTCGAACAGAGCGGCGCCCTTAACAGCAGTTGACCAGCATCAGCAAATCAACACTGGGCTTTTAAACATCATGACGGCGTGCCCGCTGCGCCTAGCAGGAGCGGAGAGACGGGGGCGGGCTCGGAGGAGAAGGCCGTCGTCGGCCGCCGCTCCGTACTCACCGACACCATGCGGGCGGTGGCGTCGGCCAGCTGTTTGGCGGCGCTCAGCAGCCGCTGCTGCAGGTCCGAGTTGGGCGTCGCCTCGGCCTGACCCTGTCAACACAGACTGCGGTCAGCGGCAGCCCCCAGCTCTGGCGTCGATCCCCGTCCGCACAGAGCGCCGGCAGGTCGGCAGCTGGCGGGCGACGGTGCTGCCAGCCGGCGGCGCACTCGCAACTGTCACCCGACTCCGGCTACCGAGCCGGCAACGCCCGGGCAGCCGGTGGGGTCCGGTCAGAGGGCGGGGGCCCCAGCAGCGGGTGGGGGCCCGGGCAGCCGGTGGGGTCCGGACAGAGGGTGGGGGCCTCAGCAGCGGGTGGGGGTCGGGACAGCCGGTGGAGTCCGGACAGAGGGTGGGGGCCCCAGCAGCGGGTGAGGGCCTGGACAGCCGGTGGGGTCCGGACAGAGGGTGGGGGCCCGAGCAGCGGGTGAGGGCCCGGACAGCCAGTGGGAATCTCGTCCGGGACGGCACGCCGCAATGCTTCATTCTGGTGTCGCTCCACCCAGTTGTCTTCGTTCATGGAAGTATTACGGGACCGCCCGCACGCGCCCGTGCCCGGGGCCCACCGTCCCAAATCATCCGTCCGGACCCCCCACTGACCCAGACACCCATCTCGGACATTGTGTGTGCGCGGGTCGGTCCACAGCAGCTTACAAATCACAAGCACGATAATTCCAAGCCACACACCACGTCACCACGGCCCCTTTCCCAGCTGGCTGTGCCCCTGAAGCCGTTCCGTACCGACCCGTCACCGGGCCTGCCTCATGGCTCCGTGCGTCAGTCAGCGAGGCATGCATCAAACTGCGCGACAGAACCGACTCGGCCCCATCTGACGACGCAGGTCCTGTCCGCAGGCAAAGCTCAGGCGGGACCGGCCAGCGCGCGTCCGCTCGGGCGCCGCGTCCCAGACGGGTCCGCCCTGCTCTGGTCCGTCAGGAGCCAACAGACGCCAGCGCTCACTCCCTTCTACAAAGCCATGCAGAGGCGGCGGTCGGGTCAGTGAAGCAGTGGCAGCTCCTGCCTGCCCCCTCCCCCATCCTCCCTCCCTCCGGCCCGGCCACAGCCGACATGCACAGCCGCCGTCGCGCCCCCAGCTCCCCTGGCGTCCCAAGCGACGTGCGGCGTCGGCCAGACGCGCACGGAAGCGTCTCTCGTCTACAGAGCGGCGCCACTGACCGGATCAGGGCCCGGTTGCTGCGTGGCGAACGCCTCCTCCTGCAACAACGGCGTGCGCTACAGAGTGCGGCAGGGGAGGCCGCGGACGCGCGGCCAGACCCGGTTAATCGGACGGCGGGCGCAAACCGTTAGTGGACCGCAGTCTCAACAGGCGGACACACGGGTGAGAGGGGGAGCGGTGACGAGCCGGGCGCCATGCGGACAAACAGCGGCCCCGGCCGCCCGCCTACCTTGATGCTCTGGATCAGCTGGGCGGTGGCCTGCGCCAGGATGCGCGCCTGGTTCACCATCTCCTTGGTGTCGGACGGCTGCGCGAACATCTTGTCGGTGACGGTGATGATCGTCTCCACGCACGTCTCGTCCGTGGTCTCCTTGACCTTCTGCTTGGTGCCGTACCTGACGGCGGACGGCGGACCCCTCACGGCCGGGCACACCACTGGCACCGGCCGCCGCACCGTCGCGCCCCGCCGTGCGTGACATGCGCCGCACCTGGCCGGCGGCCAGCCTCTCCACAGAGCACCACCAGCTTGACGCACGAGGTGCCGGCACCGGCCACCCTGGCACAGCGGCTGGTGATCGGAACGGCACCAATTCCCACCCTGCACGCGGAGCTAACGCCATAACGCGTCTGCTGGTCCACTGAGCACGTCACCATCCTGACAATATCTTGTGAACTAATTCAAGATCATGGAAAAACAGCTACCGCGTGTGGTTGTGCTCCTGACAGCCCCGCATGACAGTCACTGCTCTGATATGATCGAAGACACAGGCCATGGGCACCGTTCCAACATGGCTGCCCGGGTACCTGCTTCACACAACTGTAGCTGCTGCCTATCCCACGGGTATGCTAGGTGGCTGTGACCCCTTACTCAGCTAGAACCACGAGCTTCACAGAATATGTCCGGACACCGTCCCACCGAAAGGAAGCAAAAAATTCGCCGCTACATGACTTCAATTGCCGGCTCGTCCCACAGCTGTGACTACCGACGTGCCCCCCGTCCCAGCCGCCGCCCCCGCCCCCCTCCAGGGGGCCGGCCCGCCCACTGACTTGATGTGGTTGAGCAGGTCGTTGAGGGCGCGCGTGACGTCGGTGGCGGCCGAGCCAAGCTCGCGGCTCAGCGCCTCGTCCCGGCAGCCCAGCTGGCACTCCTGCACCACCGCCTCCACGGCGCGCGCCACCTCCTTGGCCGCCTCGATCAGCTGATCCTGGCAGCCCGGGTTCTGGATGGTCGGCGCCACCACCTGCAGGCAGCGCAGAGAGCGCGTGTCGGAACTGAGCACCGTACAATCGCACTCACTGATCTGTACCGCGGAGCCCTAGCATACGCGAGCACTTCAGATATCTGTAAGTCCTAGTGATGTGAGCAGGTAACTGTTGTCGATTCCTGCGTGGGGTTTATGCCGTAACGACTCGACGCGTCTCATTACCGAAGATATCAGAACCTCGACAGACCCATTACCGCTGCGCACAACTCGCGACCTAAAATGTCTCCGGGCAAACTTACTTGACCCCCCCCCCCCCAAAAAAAAACGCTCCGTTCTGATGCCACCAGCCGAGCTTCGTGCTGGGACAGCTGTCGCACCAAGCAGCCGGCCGCGAGCAGCGCCACCGGCCCGCCAGCTCCACCCACACCGTCCCGACAGTCGCCCGACGCCGCCGCCGCACCTTAGCGATGGCCACCAGCTGGGAGGTGGTGAGCGCGCACTGGGTGGCGGCGCCGATCACGCGGTTCTGCTGCTCCTCGTTGTCGCACGTGGACGCCACGTTCTTGGCCTTGAGCACGAGCGCGGCGGTGGAGTTGGCCACGGCCTTGGCCAGTCCGAGCAGCACGTCCTGCACCTCGGTGTTGATCTCGGTCTCCTCGGCGATGTTGGTGAGCACGCCGCCGGACGCCTCGCCCACGCGCGACGCGGCGTTCAGCAGGCTCTGACGCGGCTGGAGAACAGAAGGCGGCGGTCAGAGAGTGCAGGACGAACCGTGGCCGGTGTCACCGCTTCGTCGTCTGCGCCAGCCTCAGTTCGCGCCCCCCCTCCCCCCCCCCCCCCCCGCTAGGCAGTGTCAGAAGATTCCATTTGGTTCTTGGTCTCGGCCCCTGCCGCAGACACCCCGCCACCCCGGTTGTCCGCCTCTGTGCCAGCAGTACGCTCACCCGCTGCTTTCACGTCTCGCTTCTGTGACCCCCCCCCCCCCCTCCCGACCCTCTATCCCCGTCTTTACACCCCGGTCCCTGCTCTCGGCTCTGTGACCCTCTATCCCCGTGTTTACACCTCGGTCCCTGCTCGCCGCTCTGTGACCCTCTATCCTCGCGTCTACACCTCGGTCCCTGCTCGCCGCTCTGTGACCCTCCACCCCGTGCCTACACCTCAGTCCCTGCTCTCGGCTCTGTGACCCTCCACCTCGTGTGTACACCTCGGTCCCTACTCTCGGCTACATGACCCTCCACCCCGTGTCCACACGTCGGTCCCTGCCGTGCTCACCTCCTGTTTCTCGGGCTCGGCGGCGTGCAGCAGGTCGCTGAAGGCGTCGCAGAGCAGCCGAGTGGCGCCGATCAGCCGGTCGCCCGACATGCTGTCGTCCATGAGCGCCGCGATCGTCTGCACGCCGCGCGTCATCGACGGCAGGTTGGTGGTGATGGTCGAGATGGCCGCGCCTGCCCGCGCACGTGCCCGCCGTCAGCGCCCGGACCCGTCAGCGGCGGCCGACGCCGGCACCGCACAGCCGTCCCACACAGTCACGGACAGCCACGGCACGACCACGGCACACTCACACGCACCCGAACAACACGAACAGGCGGACACGGTCGCCGATAGCCGCACTGCGAGCGTCAGAAACGGGTCTGCCGGAGGCGTGAGTGTCTGGAGGGTCGGCGGTCGGCGTGCGCTCAGACCGCGCGCCCACGTTTAGCCACAGGAGCACAACACGGTGCGGGCACCGCCGCGTCCCAAGCCAGTGTGCAGCGCCAGACGGTTAGAGAACACCGGCACAGATACCAAACGGTACGTACCGTAGGGCCGAGCGACCGGCCGAAATTCGGCGCAAAACAGGCGACATCCGCCGATGATTTAGTTGGCACTTTCAGCTGGGTGTACAGGGCGGTTTGAGATAGTGTCAAAGAGCGCTCTCCTCTGGCGACCCGAGGGCGAGTCGCCGGACGATGTATTGTTCACTGTGTAAACCTCACGCAACACTCAGTGCAGACCCGTTTCCGACAAACGCAGCACGAACACGGCCTCCGTCTCTCTGCGGTAACACCACACGAGCGTACGGCACAAGTGGCGAGGCATCACATCGCGATGCAGCCTCCTCAGCGCTCCCCGCGCGCTCGGCGCCCTGCGGCCGACCCGGCGGTTAGCCGAGGTTCGGCGCGCGCCGCTCCTGCAGGCGGCGCCACGCCCAGAGCAGCGCCAGCGTCAGCAGGCAGAGCGCCGCCACGGCCAACAGCGAGCCGTGCAGACCGAGCGCGGCGCGCAGCGGGCCGGCCGGCGGCGGCAGCGGGCGGCGTGCAGCCAGCCGCCGCCGCCGCCGCCGCCGGCACCGGCCGCCAGCGGAGCGCGCGCGGCTCCACGTCCGTGAAGCGCATCACCAGCCGGCTCTCGACCCAGGCCAGCTCCTCAGCCTCCTCGTCGATCCAGAGCCGGCCCTGGCTGGCGCTGTGGGCGCGTACGGCTGACGGCGCGCCGCCGCTGCCGCCGCCGCGGCCCGTGGCGCCGCCGCTCGGCTGCAGCCGATCCTCCTGCATGCGCATGGCCTCGGCCAGCACGCGGCGCGCCAGCTCGTTGGAGCGTCCCCAGTCGTCCGGGCCGAGTCCGGCGCACAGCGCTGAGGCGGCGCCAGACGCCGTCTCCGGCCCGGCGCGACCCGAGCCCACCCTCCGGCGCCGCGCCGCGCCGCCACCCCGGCCGCCGGATCTCACGCCGTCCGTCCGCGCGCGCCCACCGCCGTCCAGCTCGTCAGCGCAACGTTTCGTAGCCCGATCTGCTGGCGGCGAGTTCGAACGCAAGCCGGTGGCAGAGGCGTCGTCCGGCCCAGAAGAACGACCGGCGCCCTGCGCCGCTGGCCCTGGTCCTGACTGGCTCTCCATGTCGCGTTGCAAGACATCAACCTGGCCGGTATCGCGCCGGTATGCCGGCGGCGACGCCTGCAGCCCGTCCAATGTTTGCTCAGCGTCACTGGAGCTCAGCCTGTCGTCCCCCAGCCGACACTCCCACTCCGCCCCTTGCGACGTCTCCCACTCCATGACATCCTCCCAGCGCCAACCCTGCTGCCAGCCATTCCTCGCCTCCTCCTCCGCGCCCCCCGCCGCCCTCCAGCCCACCACTCAGCGGCGGGCTCGACACCGACCCGGGCGCGAGCGCTCCGGCCTTCTCTAGAGAGCCTCCCTCCGCCGGCGCTCCGGCCGCCACAGCACCGCCGGCCGCGTGAGCGCCCTGCCGGCGGCGCGCCGCCGCCGCCGCCGCCCCGGCGGCCGGAGCGGCGCCACCCCCGGCCGGGGGCGGCCGGCCACGTACCGACGGCGGTGTGGTCCACCTCCTCCTGCGGCCCGGACGTGAGCGTCACCACCTGGGCTGTGGCCGCGTTCATCGCCGCCAGCTGCGACGACACGCTCTGCTTGTTGGTGTCCATGGTGGTCTCCTTCCACTTGAGCGACGTCTGCCGGCAGTGGGGGCGAAGTCAGGCGAAGGCGCGGCACTGCCCGCGACAGCAGCCGCGCACAGACGTCAGGCGAGCCAACCAGCGGCCAACAACACCGGACAATCACTGACATGTCTCAGACACGTGACAAACAACAAACGCCGCACGTAAGTGCCGAGGACAGAGCTACGACTGGGATGGAAACGAAACATGTCCTCTTCCAGGCGGCCTAGCCCTCACAGCAGGAGAAGCATCCACAAACGGCCTCCGAGTCGTTCATTATTTCGGCAGCAGGACGCGGGTGGAGGCTGGGCTGCAGCCACCTGCCGCCTGCCGCGCCCCAGCGCCGGCGCCGAGGCCACTGACCGGGTCCGTGCCGAGCTCGGGGAACTGCATGCGCGTGTCGAGCTGGCGGCGCGCCGAGTCGATCGCCTCGTGGCCGACCACGATGGTGTTGACCAGCGCCCGCTGCGGCTCCGACCCCACCGACGTGATCTGCGGCTGCTGCGCCTGCGGCCACCGCGCCCGCCGCCGGTCAGGTCAGGTCGGGTCAGGTCGGGTCAGGCGGCGCACGGGCGGGCATCGCGCGAGCACGGTCAGCGCCGGAACAGACGGCCCCTCCCCCCCCCCCTCCCCGACGACGCCAGCGTCGGGCGCCGTGCCGACTGACAACAGAGACCAGAATCGGTCGCGATGAGAATCGTGATGGGCGATATCCCGAGTACCAAGCATTCATGCACACATAATACGCAAACAAAGCTCGGCTGACATACCTCCCTCCACGTGGCATATCTCCACATGCACGACCGTGGTGGGCATGCGACGAACTTAACCGTATAAAAACAAATCAATAAAACAACTGGTCGCCGTAACGACGCTAACTGATCCATTTATCGTAACCACATGCACTGACACGAGCAGAAATCCGACATTTATTTATGTACCTACACATATCCTAAAGAAGTATCCTTTGGACGCTTGAAAGAGGAGAACACGGCATTACTGGGCGGACCGGCGACGCGAGCGGCCCGGCCTCGCCTCGCCTCGCGTCCGACGGGCCGGCACCAGACACAGGCGGCCCGGGCGGAGGGCGCCGCGCCGCCGGCCGGCCTTCCATGAGAACCCCTCCGGCCGCGCTCCGCCGGCTCCGCGGGCCGTCCGACACCTCGTTACACACCGCAGCATGGGCTGCTTTATTGGCTCGGCCGGGAGGCGGCGGCCGTCCGCCCGGCCGCGGCGGGGACGGGCGGCCCACGCGGGCGCGCGCTTACCATGGGCGGGGCGTGCGCCAGGTTCACCTGGCCGCGCATGGTGCCGTGTTGCGCGCCGCCCATGTGGCCCGTGCCGATGACGTTGGGTCCTGGGTCGGGGGCAGAGCGGGGGCCGGTCAGCCGGGAGGGTTCGCGCTGCCCCGGGGGCGGCAACCGGCCACCGGCGACCGGCGACCGGCGACCGGCGACCGGCGACCGGCGACCGGCGACCGCGACCGGCGACCGGCGACCGGCGACCGGCGACCGCGGGGCCAGCAGCGGCGACGAGACGAAGCAGGCCAAGACCCGATGAAACAGCCCACGAAGCAAATGAACCAGGCGCGACCGAACCGAGTCTGTCGAGAGCCAACTGAACCATGCGGGTGCTTTTCTGAGCCGAACGTGCCCCAACATAACGGGTGTTGTCTAAACTGCATCGGGCGTGGCTCCCCAACTGAAGCGAAAACTGAACTGGGCGTAGCCCAACAAAAGTGAGCGCACTGTGTGAACGGAACCAGGCGTGGGTAGCCCCGCCGACCGGCAGCGGAACAGCCGTGCGGCGCTCACCCGTGTCGCCGGTGCGCAGCACGCCCGGCTTCGACAGCGAGTCCTCTTCTACCTTAGTGATCTTCGTCATCCCCTGCTGGATGATGGTGGCCCTGGCGGACGGCGGGGAGGGGGCGGCTCAGCACGGCTGGCGCCACGAACGGCACCGACGACACCACCAGACGGAGACAGACACAGGGCCGCCTGAACACACCAAACCTCCCCGCTCCCCGCAGAGACCGATGCCAGATCGTCCGTGGCGGTGGCCAGATGATGATGACTGGGGCTTTGGGGCGCACCAACCACGATGGTCGTGGTGGCATCAGGGCGAGGAGGTAGGGGAGACGAAGCAGCGCCCCGACTCACTTGTTGGGCGACACAGACTCCTCCAACATGATGGCGTCGTCGTCCTTGTCGACACCCAGCCAGTCTTTGGACTTCTGCTTCTTCAGGATGATATCGATGTATCCGGCGATGAGCTGCGAGATCTGCTCCCCCTCCGTCGTCTGCACCGAGTAGTACTGATCTGTGTAGTCGCCAAAGTCTGCGACACGCAGAGGACCGTGTCACGGTCTGCCGGGCGACACACTCATCTCCCAAACAGACCCACACCCAACAAAGTCCTTGTTCATCCGTAGCACGCGACTGAGCCCCCTCAAATACAGGGACTGAACATGAAAAGATCCAGACCATGCGACACACCGCCGGCGCGCAGTGCTCTGGCACTGCTGTCAAACAATGACGACGACATTCGACATTCCACTTTCGACGACTTTCCACATTGACTTCCACAATCCATTTTCGACGACTTTCCACATTCACTTCCACTTTCGACGCCGACATTCCACTTTCATTCGACGACTTCCGACGACATTCCATGCATGAGAGCACCGCAAAAAGCCGCTGTGCTACGATCAACACACGATGGCTGCTTCGCCTGCTCACTTCTCTAACGAACAATCTGTATCGCCACGTCGGCAGCAAAACCTCAGCGGCGTCTGAGACGACATCCTCTGGTGTTGTGTTCAGGCCCGCCATTGGCACAACGACCGATGACATCGCCGATACACTAAGGAAGTTCGCTTGTCATGTTAAAAACCGACGGTCGATCTGGTGCAGAATATTCTGCGAACCGCAGGTGCTGCCGTCGGCTGACGCCAGGCGAGTGGCAATACTTCATCACCGCCAACGCAAGCTGGGTCCAGAAATCGACACCTTTCTGGACTGGCATGTGTCTATCGATGTGCCTGGTGCGCGTCTTTCAGTACCACCATTGAGACTACATGACGTATGAGGATCTGCGCGGTGAGAATCCCAAAGCACTTACAAGTCATTTTGTTTGCCTATTTGAGCCTGAAAGTAAAGATAACCATAAATCCCGCGTAAAACGTTCCTGAATGCTTTCGATTCGTGATTTGGCGACCCGCGAAAACGTTAGTAACACACGTGGCGGGTTTTCAGCATTTGTGGCGTACCCCACACGAAAGCAGCCGCTATCTTAGCCCAGCTTCAGCCCCGGGGGACCGTCCGCCCGGCGCCGACCGCAGAGGCTGTGGATGCCCCAGCGGCCGCGTGCGTTAATGTCCGGGCGGCAGGCGCTATTGATTTCGGCTGGAGAGCAGCGGCAGCGGCGGCGGCGGCGGCCGCTGAGCTGCGTGGGAGCGCCGGCCGGCGCCAGTCTGTCCCGGCCGGAACGCCGCCGGCGGCCCCTGCAGACCGCCGGCCCCGGCGCCGGCGCCGACCGGCCGGCGCCAGCTCAAGCGCCGCGCCAGCCGCCGCACGGCCGGCCGGCGGCGGCGCGTGCGGCCCAGCCGCTTGCCGCCGCCCCGACCGCGTTTCACGACCCAATACGGGGCCGGGCGTAAGCTTCGAACGAGCGCACGAGCATTCACAAGCGGCCCGTTATTAGCGCTACAAAAGACGGCTTGCCACCGGCCGAAACGCTCCAACGGAGCGGCCGAGGTGAACGGCGCGCTCCAATCGATAGCCTGGAGCCGAGTCGGCGGGCTCTGCTGGCCGCGAACGCTCGGGCCGCGCCGGTGGCGGCGAAGCGGGGCCAGCACGCGGCTCGGGCGGCCGACTCACCGACGGGTGAGCAGCGAGACGGCGGACCGGCGCCCGCGGCTCCCCGCACCGCCGGCATGTCGCACCTTCCGGAACCGCTGCCCCCTCCTCCCTCCCCTCCCCCACGATCAGCCGACCGGCCGGCGACGCGTACCGAGTGTGAAGGTGTTGGGACTGGCCGCCCACCGACGCACGGTCGTCAGCGGCCACTCCTTCAGGATCTCCTTAGTCTTCTCGTCCAGCCGCAGCACCGCCTCTTTGGTGACGCCCAGCAGCCGGGGCACCAGCTTGTTGCGACCCTTCAGCTTCTCCTGCAGGGCGAGGGGCGGCGTCAGCGCGGGCCGAGGCGGGGATGCGCGGAGCGGAGGCGGGGATGCGCGGAGCGGAGGCGGGGGGCGGGCCGAGGCGCGGGGCGGGCCGAGGCGCGGGGCGGGCACAGGCGGCGCCGGCGGCTCAGCTACGGGCAACAGGACGGTGTCCGGCGCGCCAGCACCTGTCGCGCCACTTCGCAGCGGACGACCAGGGGCCGCACCCAGGCCGCATGCAGGCGCCTCACACAGCGAAATACCAGGTGTGTGGTGCGCGCCGGCGAGCCGATAAACCACGTGACACAAAATACACCCTCGGAAATATACTCACTGGACCAGTGTACGAAAACGCTTCGAAACACACAGCAGCACACAAATACTTTTCATTTGTACTGCATGTTGCTGACTTATCCCCACGTCACGTACTATTCAACATTTTGCTGGGTTCCTGGCGCCCTCAGTTACAGTGCCGATCCAAGCGACGTGGCCACATCACCGTAGATCAATGGGCCTACCTTGACTAAAAAGAAGCTGACGCCATAAGTAGGCAGATCCCGCGCCTCCTTCACATACTGGACTTTGGCGTCCAGCTCGTTCAGTTCGGAATAGTTCTTGTGCTCGTTGTAGATTTTCTTCTCAATACCCTTCGTCTTGACGTAATAGTGCGGCACGAACTCCCGAAGTCTGCCGGGTGGGAGAGAGACAGAGACGTAAGAATGCGGCACGAACTCCCGAAGTCTGCCGGGGTGGGAGAGATGACGTAATAGTGCGGCACGAACTCCCGAAGTCTGCCGGGTGGGATGGGAGAGAGATGACGTAATAGTGCGGCACAAACTCCCGAAGTCTGCCGGGTGGGAGAGAGAGGGAGACGTAAGAGTGGGCCATTAACTCCCGAAGTCCGCCGGGGTGGGAGAGAGATGACGTAATAGTGCGGCACGAACCCCCGAAGTCTGCCGGGTGGGAGAGAGAGAGAGAGAGATGTAATAGTGCGGCACGAACTCCCGAAGCCTGCCGGGTGGGAGAGAGATGACGTAATAGTGCGGCACGAACCCCCGAAGTCTACCGGGTGGGAGAGAAAGAGAGAGAGAGACGTTGGCGAGCGTACAGCAGCGGCCGACGACAGCAGCTCCGAGTCCAGTGACCCCCACCATGCCGTCCATTGATCAGTCGAGTTTCCACGGACCGCGACCACGTGGTCATATCGCGCCCAGAAAACCATACTATTCCCGGACAGAACGGCCACATTGGAAGACTTGAGATCAGGATTTGAGCTTAAGGGCGCTTCGAACGCTCGGACTTATAACATCCCGGCAGTCGCATTTCACGGAAGTGATATCTCCGTCTGGACGAGACCGGTCTCGAAAAGGCCGCCGAGACCTGGAGAGGGCCGGGACCGACTGAAACATAGCCCGGTCGCCGCCAGGCCTCCACAATCGAAGAGCTGCGGCTGGGCGTACTCACTCGAGAAAGCCGGTCTTGTGCTTGTCCGGCTGGTAGGCGCCGAACTGGATCTGACACTGGATGCCGGCGAACTGGCACGCCTTCTGCTCCGTCACCGGGTGCGTACCGTTCAGGATAGCGTCGCGAGCCTGCCGGGGGGGACGGGGGGGGGGGGGGCGGGGTTAGTCAGCGGGACACGGCACAGCGACCGCCGGCGGATCCGTCTTGCACACGCCATTGGCGCTTAACGGCGCGTCGGTTTGAATGGAGCGGCGCATTGCGTAGCGATGCGGCCGGCCCAGCCAGGCGTACCGTCGGATAGGCCGACGCCGAGGCGCCGCCCTGTCCCAGGGCGGCGGAGAGCACGCTCTGGTGGCGTTCGGCCCGCTCCGCGAGGCGTGCCGTCCGACAGGCCGACGCCGAGGCGCCGCTCTGTTCTGGGGCGGCAGGGAGCACGTCCTGGTGGCGTTCGGCACGCTCCGCGAGGCGTGCCGTCCGACAGGCCGACGGCGAGGCGCCGCTCTGTTCCGGAGTGGCGGGGAGCACGCCCTGGCGACGCCCAGGCCGGGCCCACCGGCCGCCGACTACAGGACCGCTTTCAGGTATCGCGTCGCACTAACGTCACCTATTGCGAACCCCCAGCAGAGTGAACGCCCAACACTGACCCGATGAGGCGTTTCCAGGCTTTGGATGGGACAGCTACAGACAAACAGCGATAAACGAAATCGCCTGCAAAAACACAGCCGACGTCTGGGGCTCGCCGTCCGTGAAGCCCACCAGCTGCCTTCAGGCGGCTTGCAGAGCCGCGAAGGGCGCCCTGTCTCGGCGCGTCCCTGCGCGCCGGGCCGGCCGCATTCGCTCACCTGCACGTAGAGCAGGTTCAGCTGCACCGGGTCGCGGCCGTCGATGTTCTGGTCAGAGAAGAAGAACTTGCGCCGCAGCAGCAGCGTCTCGTTCTCGTCGACGCCCTGCTCGCGCAGCGTCTTGCTGTGGTCGACCCAGCCGACTGCGGCACAAGCGGCGGCTGTGAGACGCCGGCGCCGCGCCGCCCAACGCATGCGCCGCCGGCCAGCACGCGCGGCGCGTACCGGAGCGTGCGACACGGCCTGCTGAGAGGCGGCATACGCTCGCCTCTGGACGATCGCTTGGTGGCGTCTCCGGCGGAAATGGGAACGCGCGACAAGAAGCTCGCGTCTGTGCGAACACAAACTTAAGAAGATTAAAACAGGGCGGATTACCACGAGGCACGGGAGACTTTACAGACGCCCATAATTACAGATATCACCCCGCGCTGACACTAAACTGGACACAAATTGGCACACACAATCCAGACGCAAAGAACGAAATGAAGAAGAACGTCGCGCCAGGCGCTATCTCCGCGTCCATCAGCACTAAGTCAGTGGCCGCCTGTTAACTCAGACACAGCGCAGCCCTCTGAAGTCATACTCTGCGTTATCTGCGCTATTTGAAACGACAGCCGCGCACGCTAACAATTTCAGGGCGCGGCCAATCGACAACTTCCACTTCGATTTAATCGCTGTCCTGCCAGACAATGACCACTCGCTAGCCTGCCGCACGTCTTTTTAGATCTAGTGACTGACCACAGTGAAAGCCCGGCACAGGCTTCCTTCCAAACCAACCACACAGGAATATCGCGATAGCCAAACACACCGCACTAGTTTAAACCAACAGAGTTTCTCGAGTTACAGCCAACAAACACGTATGGAAAACAGGGGGAGGGGTGCATTCTTTGTCCTCCACCCTATCCACCCAGTAAGTGCATAAAGTATCTAATTTTTCCAGCCCATAGCTTTCGGCGTCACGTTTAACCACAAGTAATTCTGGTCATCACGTGACCGGACCTGTTTGTGCAGAGATGCGACGCTGAATCTTACTAAGCTGAAAACAAGTTGTTTCATGTAACTGCTGAGTGGGTACAGCCACACCCCATTTTTCCTATTTCATTTTGACGATTTTGTGACATGAATTGTTTGCTTAAGTCGTAAGGATCTTAGTCTCCCACACGCACAGATTGCTGCGCAACACTGGCCCCATAACTCAGATGGCATGGACAAACCCCACATACGTCTCCGAGCACTCTGTATCGCCATGCGCTGCACGCTCACGCCGACACGCAAACCACTACGCCACGGGGGTGGCAAGTACACGCGCTTTTCATATCCCGAAACTCCTCTAGTCCACTCCCGTCAGGCACAACTTCTCCCATAATCTGTATTTGAGGGGTGCATTTGACATCATACTCCCACTGATCTGAAAGCCTTAAGAAGACTTCCTTGACCACTCCATTGCCGTGTTTAACTACGACCGTCGGCCTTCCAACATGGAGCGCTTCCTCACGACGCCCATGAAATGAGCGGGCAAACCGTGTCCGATCTCAGCGCGTGCACAGCACACGCCACCTCGAACATCATCCGTTTGACTCACGCCAACGACCAGCACTCTATCGATCCTTCCCAGATCCCCGTGGGTCCGCTCCTGACTGCACCAGCGGCCACCGCCCCTCGCATCAGACAAGCGAGAGGCCGAGCCCCCCAGTCGGGCCAGCACCCGCTCGTCCGCTGGCCGCCACCCGCACCTGGACTCCCAGCCGCACAGCCGCATCGTCAGATCGCGGCTGGCCGATTATAAAAGGAGGAATGGCGTGGGAGGGGCGTGGCCGGCGGTCGTCAGCGGCAGGCTGGCGGACCATCACCGGCCGGCCACGGCCGTGTCGGCGGCGCCGCTCTGGTCCCGCCGCCGGCCGGCCAGACGCGCGGGACCAGGCGGTCAAGCGCGGGAGGGCGATCGGGAGACGCGGGCACTGGCACAGCGTGGGGACCGGAGGGCCGGGCAGATCGGGGCGGCGTGGCGATCAAGGAAACACCGGGACTTGGGGAGGGGGGGGGGGGTTTAAAGAAGACCGATGGGTCGCATGGAGCGTGGAGATCGGGGGACGTAATGCTTAGAAGAGACGCAGGAAACAGAAGAGACAGAGGGATCAGGGGGACCAAGGGAGACGCCTGAGACCGTAAGACATGATACGAACAGGAAGGAGTAAAAGGCCGGCAGATGGTATAAAATACAAAAGCATTCCGGAATAATTCCCGTCCATCAACCCACAATCATGCATTCACACGGTAGTACGTACACATGAATAAATGAATGAATATATGAATACATAGATAAATGCGAAAATAAAGATGTCGGCAGCAGTCTGAGTATGGCAAAAGGTTACAAAATGGGATACGATGTTATAAACCCTTAACCACTCTCACATCCTCTTCATTTACGCCCCAACAGTAAGACCGTCTGCTCAAAAGGGCCGCCCTACCGAAAGTTCATCCGCTTGACATCATCCGCTTGACAGAGGAAATCGAGCCCAGGGTCCCTGCGAAAGCCTGCCTGTCTGCGAAAATGGGTACTTCACACAGCGAGCCTGGGCCCAAAGAAAAGGGAGCAGAAGAAAAAAAAAAAAAAAAATGCAAAAAAAAAAAAAAAAAAAGAAAAAAAAAAAAAAAAAAAAAAAAAAAAACAAAAAAAAAAAAAAAAAAAAAAAAAAAAAAAGAAAAAAAAAAAAAAAAAAAAAAACAAAACAAAAACAGCCTCCTTCCCCACCCCCATCCCCCCCCCCCCCCCCCCCCCCCCCCCCCCCCCCCCCCCACAGCCGACACTCACGTTCGTCATCGGTCTTCAGCTTCTTCTTGAGCGACTCCATCTTGGCATCCACAGCCCGGTCATCGGAGGCCTTCTTGCGGCGCAGAGTCAGTGTGCCGAAGTTGGGTTTGACGTTCTCCTGCTCCTCCGTCTCCTTCTCGCGGATCAGCGAGTATTCCTCGTGGTTGATGATGCCTGCCACCGGCGGTGTGAGGTCAGCAGCGCCAGCAAGCCGCCGACAGGGGCCGCAGCCGAACGCCGCACCACACGCCGAGTCCGTGGCACCGCCACACCGCCACAGCACGCCTCTATACTCGCCACCAATCCAACAGCGGGAGGAGCTGCACTGCTCCAGCGGAATGCGGCCGCATCCAGGCGTTACAGAATAACAACACTGGGCCTATGGCGACGCACGAAAAAAACCAGCCTCGTAAAACCCATCGACACTGCCGACCTCTTTGGCGCACTATCGCTTACGGCAGCGCTCCGAACACCAAACACCGCCCGCGGCTGACCGGGACGGACGGGCATACGGCGGCACCGGCGGCGGCACGTCACATGGCGGCGCCAGCGTGGCCCGCTTCCGGGCCGGCGAGCAATCAGCGGCTCGCCCGTCGGGCGCCGGCAGCGCATGAATGAAGGCGGCGCGGTGCGGCGCCCGGCGCCAGGGTGGCGCCGGGCGGGCATCGATCGAGCCGGCGTCGCCGCCGCCGGCGCTGCCTCCGGCCACTCACCGATCTTGGTGCAGATCGTCACCATCAGGTTGCTGACGATCTGCGAGTCGTCGACCAGCATGGTCTTGACGGTGCCGTCCAGCATGCGCACGCGCAGCGGGCGCAGCTTCTTGCGGTACTCGATCACATCCTGTGGCCAGGGCGAGCGCGGCGCGTCAGTGGCGGCCGGCGTGGCACGGACGGGACCGGCGGCCCGCGCCGCTGCCCAGGCTCACCCCGGAGCGGGCGTCGGGCAGCAAGGGTGCGAGGGTACGCTGGCCCGTGACCAGGGACGGGCCGCCGCGGCCCAGCATCGGCGGAGCTGGCTCTTGGGGCGGCTCCCGACGTCGGAGCTGGCGGCCACCGGCCAGAGACAGCGACCGTGACCAGCGCCGGCCTTCGAGCCGTCCACCGGCCGCCGGGACACGACAGAGGCCACCTGACACGGCTGCAGCAGCCCGAGCACGGCTCCCGCCGGCGGCGCACACAGCGACAGAGGGCAGGCTGTCTGGACATCTGAACATCGCAAGATACGGCGGAGGCCACCTGACACGGCTGCAGCTGCCGGAGCACGGCGCCCGCCGGCGGCGCACGCGATGACAGGGGGCAGGACGTCTGGACACCTCAACATCGCAAGACATCCGGTCAAACACTAGCGGTCTCGTCACCACCCTGCTCACGCCGCCTGAGCAGGCTGTGTTCCTGTCTCGGTCCGGGTCCTCACAGCACACGCACACGCACACGCGCGTGCACGGCACGCCCACAGCTGCGGACACCACCTGTGGCCGCCGCGGTCAGCAGCGCCGCTGGCGTGGCCGCCGGCGGCGGCGGCCGGGTCGACAGACCGGGATAAGCCAAACGGCGTCGGCAGGAAGCATTCAAGTCACGTCTCCGTAACCGGAGGAGAAGCGTAGTACTGCGGCCGTCCATTTACACAAGTTTGCGACGGACAAGGTTGCATCCAACACGTGCAGTTGCAAGTGGACTGACGGCGAAAATGCTTCATTCTCACAGGAAGCCGAAAATGACATGTGAAACCCCGATCAGGGTCCTCAGCGGGCAAATTTGGGTCGGCGAATCAGTCCGACTAAATGTGCGCCTGTTTTGTACGCCCTGAACAAGATACGTCAATTCAGGAAAAGTGGATATTTTCCCACATCGCAAGCTTAATGTAGCGCGCAGAGAACGAAAACAATATGTTTAGTCCCAGAACGGATAATTTGCATCGGCGCGCACCAAGTCAGGATATCTTACTGCTGCATAAACCCATCAACCCAATCATACATTGTCGCGAACTTTCATAGCGACAACGTCCGTGCAGAACTTGTTGAAATTAAAAAGGCCAAACAGCAAAGAAATAACGGACATTGTTAAGTACATGTTTTGTTATATGATGCCCAATAAAGAAGACAACTAAAAACAAATATGGTGCGATCACATGGATTCTCCTTTACCTGTCCCCCCTCCAGGCTGGCATCCAATTTAAAACAGGTGTGTGGCTGTGGCTATTTGTTGCCGTACTTGTGACCGTTGTTTTACGTTCTATTTGTTTTAAGCTTACGTCTCAGCATAGGGTTATCCAGACAAACCACAGCATTATTAAAAATGGGTTTCCAGCTGGCTTTCAGCTTTTGGTAACGATACAGGACTGAACAGACATTTACGAGCGAATTGAGAAGGCCAGCCCAACCGAAAACTGCAGACAGTCCGCCCAAAAGACGTCGGGTCACATGACATTACTAAAATACAATCCTACCAGCCTCAACGTAGTTGGAACAGAACAGCTTCGACAACAACAACAAAAACACACACACACGCTACTATCACTATCCCGGTCGGAAACAGCCTGAAAGTGAGAAATACAATGAGTGACAAGATAAACGAGAGCTGGCAAATCCCAGCAAAAAGATCCTCAAAAAGGACGGTTGATATCCGATGACAGACCAACGTGTTCCACCAGCCCCCGGTTGGACGCCCACCTTTCACACACCTCGATGCCTCGGCGGGAGCCTGGCGCGAGGGTGGGCCGCGCCACGCCCACCCCCACTCGGCCACACAAAGCGCCTGCTCATGTGCCGGAGGCAGCAGCGCCGGCGTCTTCCGCTCTGGAGCCGCGCTCGCTGCCGGCGGGGCGGGCTGGTCCGTGCGACCGCCGCGCCGGCCCCGCCCCCGCGCGTCACCGCCAGCGGACCGACCATGCTCTCAGGTCAGGTCGACTGGCGCGCGCCCCGCTCACAGTGCGTCGGCCGGGGCGACGGTGCAGCGCCGGCGCGCCGCCGCCTCGGGCGCCTGCCGCCCGGCCACTGAGCCGGCGGCCGGCCCGCCAGACTGGCGTCAACGTCGCCAGAGCGACTATCGATCTGCGCGCGGCCGCCGCCGCCGGCTCCCTCTCGGCCGCTCATCTCTTTGTAGTACATAAACCGGCGGCGGGGCGGCCACTGCCCCACCCGGCCCAGCGCGGCCCGGTCCGGCCGGGCGCGGCACTGCCGGCGCGGCACTGCCGACTGCCCAGGGAGGAGCTCAGGCGGCCAACACCGGCCGCCTCCCGGATGAGCGACACGGCCAGCACTGGGCGCTGGCAGGAGGAGCGGGGCGGCTGAGGCCGGCGGTGCGTGCCGCCTCTGACGTCCGTCGGCGCGTGCCGACGAGCGAACGCCGCCGACGCAGCCCGGCCGCCCGTGCGACGGGCGGCGCCGGCCGGCTCAGGGCGACCTCAGGTGGGCGCCGTCAGCCGGATGCCGACCGGTCGCCGGTCCGGCGGAGCGGACGCCACCGTGCTGGCCGCATTCCCACGGCGGGACGGGCTCCTAACATGGGGCTGGCGAGCCCCGACCGTCCGGCGACCCCAACGCTGTCCGCGCCGTCGACAGCGTTTGCACTGAGACTTGGATTAGTCAGATAAGAGACCGAGAGACGCTGGCCAGTTTCCGACAGCGCGTCACCACGATTCTCAGTCGCCGTGGGACATGACCGAAGCATCATCTGGGACCGGGGCTTTTGTCCCATTGTCAGGTTCACTGAAGACTCGTCCATTTTCCTTTCTCTTTTTCATTTTCCGGAACAGAACGACGCTTTCGTCAACCAACGCTTTCTCGTCTGCCGACATCAGCAGCGATGGTTCACGGCAGGTCTGAAACACTTCGTCTGGAAAAGACTCACCTCGCTTTTGAGAAGGTAGTACTCGAGGGTTCGTCCCGGCTCTAGCCAGAAGCCCTTCTTCGTCTCCTCGTCCCAGAAGAAGAGGCCGTAGTCTTTATCTGTCGGAATCGGCGCCCGTCAGAGGTCGTTTTAACAACGGCTTGTTGACGCTCGCCCGCCTGCTGAGGCGCTCATAAATTTCTGCATTCACGACCGGACCAGCGGCGGGCGGCTCCCCCGCCACGGACCAAGCGCGCGCGATCAATACGACGACAAACGACTTCGTTTACCGCCCCCTTCAGCGACTCAATTACACGATTGTTTTGTCTCCGGCGACCAATCGATGCTGGTTACGGTGTGCGAGCGTGCTTTGTGCGAGTGTGCCAGACTCCACGACACAACCTGGCGACATCAGCCCTGACTACCGATCACTTACGGTTGGTGATGTTGGTGGTGTCGGCTAGTCGCTCTCTGATCATGCGGCAGGCGTCCAGCACGGCCGTCTGCGGCTCGAACTGCATCGCCTTCACCACATTCTTCTCCTCGATGCGGACCCGCAACGTCAGCGACATCTCTGATCTGCGGACAGAAGCAGCGGTGCCGTCAGGGGCCGTTGCGGCGCTAGCTGCGGGGTGGGCGTGCCAGCCAGGGCGTCGCCGCCGCCATCCGATGGACGACGACCGCCGGCGGTCGGCGAACAGGCGTCTACACATGTTCGGCATCCACCAACAGAGCGCGGTACGCGCTCCCTGATTGGGGAAATCCCGCTGAGGCAGACGGCTCACCGGTCGGAAGCTACCCGTCACCGAAATCCCCCGGCACGCACGTGTGCCAGGTCCGGGGCATAAACAGAGCGGCATGCGTCAGCACCGACGCGAGCAGGTGCGCGGGGCACACGGCGTCAGCACCGCGCACTGCTGACCCGGCGGTCCCCGACCGAGCCGCGCTACCAGCCCGACCGACTGATGACGTCACGGCAGCGCCGGCGGCGGCCGCAGCGCCCGGCCGAGAGCCGGACCGGTCCGGCCGCCGCCGCCGGCAGATGTCGGAGCCGATCGCCGCGCCGCCCGCCGGAGACGGCCGCGGCGCGGCGGCGGTCCCCACGGGCCGACGATAGCCTCCTGCCGTCGCGGCGGCGGCGCTATCTCGGGACGTAGTCGGGACGCGGCCGCCGGCGCGCGCGGCGGCCGCTCCGCCGACCAGCGTCGTCCCTATCTAAATTGTATCGCGCCATTAAGCGTCGATGACCGGCGGTGCGGCACGTGCCCGACCGCCGCGCTCTGGGGCGAATTAGCCGGCCGGGCGGAGGCCGGCAAAGGACGGCCGCAATTGGCCGGCCGGTCGCCGGAGACCGGTCCTGCAGGCGCGTCGCGTCATCGGCGTCTGCCTCCTCTGCAGCCGAGGCGGGCGCCGCGCGACGGGCGCCCGGGCGCCGCCCGCTCGCCGGTCGCAGCGGTCACAGCGGCGACGCCGCGCCGCCCGGCTCAGTTCGCGCGTCGCTTGAGGAGGGGGCGTGCTCGCGTGCGGCGCCGCCGACAGCCGCACCGCAGTGTCACACTGCATGACGGCATCTCAGTGGCAAACAGGCCGATGTCTGTGTCACGCATCAATGTATATACACACGGGCCGGGAGACGCTGACCAATGGCCCAACGGCGTGCCAGTGAGGGTTGTCAGCGCCGGCGGCAGGGCAGGTCCACCGATCACCCCCGGCCGGCCGCTGGTGCAGCTGCGCCCTGATGCCCCGGGGATCCGTTCCCACACCTGTTATATCACACGCGAGGCCAGCCAAACATCACACGATTAAACTCCGACACGGCCATCCGTTCTGCTCGCCATCAGTCGACCGGTCCCGCGGCGGCGCTCGCTCGCCGCCCCATCGATCTTGCGTTGTAGCCGGCACCTGCGCCCCTCCCCCATCCGTCGGGACCCGGTGGCAGCCGTTGACCCGAGCGCGGCCGCCGACCACTCCGCCGAGCCGATCGCCCCCAGGCTGCGCGTGAGGGCCGCCCTCCAGCGGCCGCGACCTACCGTCCCGTGCCGTCGGGCGCCCCTCCGCGCCGCCGCCTGACGCCCAGCTCTCGCGGTGCACGCCGCCCCAGGATATATTTAAACGTCGGCACAAGGCGCGGCGGAGCGGCCAGTCGGCTGCCAGCCGGGCGGCCGGCCAGCCGCCCACCTGACTCAACCCGCGCGCGCTGAACACGCGCCTGACGGAGGCCGGTCCCAGGGCCAAACGGGCTCCATTGTGACTCATTCTGTCCGTGCTCGTTCTGCTGTGCTCTGTCGTGTTGTCCGATGCATAATGGCGCCGTAGCCTCCTCGGACGCTACTCCCTCCGTCAGTGCTCTCTGTCTGGTCTCCCTTGTCAGGTCACCCTCTGTCCGGTCTCCCTTGTCCGGTCTCCCTTGTCGGGTCACCTTCTGTACGGTCTCCCTTGTCGGGTCGATCTCTGTCCGGTCTCCCTCGTCGGGTCGGCCTCTGTCCGGTCTACCTTGTCGGGTCGCTCTGTCCGATCACGCTCGTCGGATCCTGTCTCCCTCGTTGGGTCGCCGTCTGTCCGGTGTCCCTGTCGGGTCGCTCTCTGTCCGGTCTCCCTTGTCGGGTTGCTCTCCGTCCGGTCTCCCTTGTCGGGTCACTCTCTGTCCGGTCTCCCTCGTCGGGTCGCCGTCTGTCCGGTCTCCCTTGTCGGGTCGCTCTTTGTCCGGTCTCGTTTGTCGGGTCGCCGTCTGCACGGTCTCCCTTGTCCGGTCGCCCTCGACGCGGCTCCCTCTGGCTCTACGTCAGCGCCGCCTCCTTTGTGAGAGCTAGCCCCGCTCCGCCGAGGAGGCTCCCTCCCGGCGCCGCGCGCCGCCCGCAGTCGGCGCGGCCGCCCACTCCCGAGCGGCAGCGTTATGGAGCTGTCGCCGGCTGGGCGGCGGCCGGCACGCGCCCCTCCCATTGTCATCGGTGGCGCTTCCGTCCCATTTGGCCGGCGCGGCCGGCTCGAGAGCGGCCCCTCGACGGACGCCGCCCTCGCCGCGCCCTGACATGTCGCCCGCTCGCCCGGCGACGGACGGCCGGCCAGACGACGGCGATGAAGAGCAATGACGCGGACGCGGCGGATCTTTACAGTCACACAGCGCCAATCGCCCGGCAGGCCGTGCGGCGCGCACTTAAAAGCCGCTTATCCACTGTAAAGCCCCCCCATAGGCGGACTAATGACGCGCACTGCGGGGGCGGCGATACGCCGTCGCAGCCTTTATGTCATTAGCACGGCGGTGGCGGCGGCGGCGGCCGGCCCAATTTGGCTAATGAGAGGTGACGGGGGCCGGGTCGCCGGTCAGACCGACGACATTGCGCATGTTCCGCAGCAACCAGACAAAGCCGCCGGGCCGGGAGTCTGGATAGGACGAGACTCAACATACCACGGGTCTTGGTGACGGGCCAACACGACCAGCACAGCGGGCCTACCACGCATGTTCCGCAGCAACCAGACAAAGCCGCCGGGCCGGGAGTCTGGATAGGACGAGACTCAACATACCACGGGTCTTGGTGACGGGCCAACACGACCAGCACAGCGGGCCTACCACGCATGTTCCGCAGCAACCAGACAAAGCCGCCGGGCCGGGAGTCTGGATGGGACGAGACTCAACATACCACGGGTCTTGGTGACGGGCCAGCACAGCGGGCCTACCACGCATGTTCCGCAGCAACCAGACAAAGCCGCCGGGCCGGGAGTCTGAATAGGACGAGACTCAACATACCACGGGTCTTGGTGACGGGCCAGCACAGCGGGCCTACCACGCATGTTCCCATCAGCAAGTAACGGCCTGGTGGCCCGTCCCTTCACAAACCCTCACACACAAACTCCCTCTCAAACCGCAAACCCTCACGTGCAGCTCACTGTAGCCCGTGACCTCGCTCAACTAACGGGAACAAGTCACCTCGGTCCTCAAAGGTCGTCCCGAGCGCCTGTCGTATGTGCTATCGAGGTCCGCGTCCGTGTGTTTACTTGGGCCGAGACTAATAGACCACGGGTGACACGGTTCGTGACGTAGCTGGAGCTCTGACTTAATGCTAGAGCAATGGCGCTGACGACGCGGCCGACCCTGGTCCCACATAATACAGAACGGCGGCGGTGAATGAAAAAAAAAACAGGACGGTTGGTCAGGCCTTGGTTGAAGATATAGAGGTGCTGAGTGTCAGTTTCGGATAAAAGGTCGCGCGGGGTCAATCGGACACGATTGATCTTAAGCCCCTCGATGTTTACATTTTAGGTTGCAGGCTGCATTTAATCCTCCATGTTGTTTGTTGACTGTCTCGGGACATGACTGCTGATGTCTCGCACGAGCCAGTGTCGCGCGCGTGACCATTCCGATCTTGCACTTCCTGCCATTTTGCACGTGGTCGTTTCAAACGTAGGGAAACGGATCCTTTCGTTTGATTCCTGTTCCGGGATGCGGATGTCTGTGTCTGTGCGTCTGTGTATTTTTTTGTCTGGCATGTAGGTCTGAAACTGGGGGCATTCTCTGCGTCCCAAGCTAATAAAAAAAAACAACAAAAGCAAGCACTCCGGCGGCTTTTGACAACATCAGCAATCTCACCAGCTGATAATTAATCAAAACGCAACGATGAAATACAATTAAACTTATAAAGATAAGGGAACACGACCAGGCACAGGTTGGCGTGCCGTGACTCATCACAGCCCGTGCGTGGGCGGACCAGTTTCCGCGAACGGAGACCGCTGGTGCCCTGGTGCTCCGGCTAATAGCGCCTCACACCGGCCGATAGCATCACAAATCGGCTGCAGTTCCGGCAGTTGGGCGGCTCGTATTTAATCGGCTTTAATGCCACGCCAATGCCGAACCGCGGGCCGTGGAGCCGACCCACCGAGCCGACAGGTCACACAGCTCAGCTTCCGGCCAGCGCCGGCCACCCACCGCTGGTCCCAGTCCGGGCTCCAGCGCCGGTCTCTGTACCAGTCTCGGTTTGGGTCTCTTCTCGGTCTCGGTATTGGTCTCGGTCTCGGTCTCGGTCTCGGTCTCGGTCTCGGTCTCGGTCTCGGTCTCGGTCACGGTCCCGGTTACGATGACTCTCAGTCCCGGTCCCGGTCTCAGTCTCGGTTCCAGTCCCGCTTCCGGTCTCGGTCGGGTCTCGGTCTCGCTGCCGGTCCTGGTTCGGTCCCGGTATCAGTCTCGGTCTCGGTCTTGGTCTCGGTCTCGGTCCCGGTCCCCGTCTCGGTCGCCGCCGGCCCTGGCTCGCCCAGCACGCGGCTCGTCACCTAACGACGGCCATTCATATGCAAACGTTTACATAACGGATCAGGCATTCAGGCGCGGTGGGGCGCGCCGAATACGCGAGAGCTGGGGACGGCAACGCACGCGCCGCCAGAAATCCGGCACCAATTAGCGCAGAGTGTTGGCGCGGGGGACAGCGGCCGCGGCCTGCTGAGGATGCCGGCGGCAGGGGCGGGCTGACACGGCCCGCGGTCCAGCCGGCGGTGGCGTCCGATCGTGGGGCCGCGACGGCTGAGGGGGGTCCGGGACAGGCGAGCTCACGCTCTGATGGGGGTCCGGGAAGGGCGATCTCACGCTCTGA